GGCTCCCAGCCCGGCGTTGCGCTCCTGAGAATGGGGAGCAGGTCCTGCCAGTGGGTGGGCTTGCAGACGAGACGGGACTCCAGAACCCGGAGCTGTGAGTTGACAATATACTGCTGTGGATCCACAAACAGTTCCAAATATTAATAAGAATAAAAGGGGGTCTGCATCGAGGGAATACTGTCACACAGCATTCCGAGCACTGTGTATGTTCCAACTGATTAAACCCTCAGAAAATCTATGATAGATTTGGGATGTGTGTGTCCATTATCCCACTGCAGAGATGAGGCGACACAGGCACTGAGAGGTTGAGGAGCCCACCCACGGCCACCCCGGGAGGTAGCCGGGGAGCCCAGCTCAGCTCCCAGACAAGCTGACTTCACCACCCTCTACCACTCAGCACCTTCTAGCCAAGAAAGACGTGTTTTCTGACCATCAAATCGACACTGTGTCTATACACCAAAGGGTAAGTGAAGAACTGGGCATTTTACTCAGAAACAAGGTTAAAGAATAAAAGTAAAAATGTAAAAACCAGTTATTTGGGGCGTCCATGTTAGGCAAAATGTCTCCTTGCCACTATTATTTGCCTCAGTCTCCCATTTTGCCTGTTACATATCCGATAATAGGAGCCACTAAATAAATGCCCCCTGGTGGACTTTATTGATTAAGTGCACTTCCGAAGCTGCGTCTGTGAGCGCAAAGTCAAGGTTCAGGGGTTTATTTGGTTAATCTGATCCCTGGACACAGCCAGCCTGAATAATTCGGACTGAAAACCTTTTTTTCGATCTCCAGCATCCAGACTGGTAAACAGGGGCCGGGAAGAGAAAGCTGTGGAGCTGTTAGATTCCCCTCCTTGAATTCAACACGTGGCTCCTGCCCCGGGAAAGCAGAAGGGGCTCCCGGACCAGGGAAGGCACGGTTTACAATGGGAGAGTAACACCGTCACCCATAAGGTGATGTGGGCACAACCATGGGACAGGCAGTGGGAGCATTTCCTTTCTGCCCTCCACGCACAGCCTGAGTCCCTCACACTTAGCCTCAGTCAGAAACTTGGAGGATGTTTTCGGCTGGAATGGTCCTTCAAGACCATGGAATTCCTCTCTCAACTTAGGGATGACTAAACTGAGGACCAAAGAGGATGCCCAAAGTGACCGTGCTGGGAATAGGGTCTCCAGCACTTTTCCCCTCCTTCCGGGTGCCCAGGAGTGACATGTCTGCGGCCGTCAGGAGCAGCTCTCGGGAACGGAACGCAGCAGAGCGACAGCTCCATTACGGAGCTGCCGTGGGGCGGACCACCCGCTCCATAGCTGGGTCTCCTGTCAACGATTTGGTTAAACGGTTTTCAAATGGGCAAACACAAATACGTTGCAGGGAAACTGGTTGGCTATACAGATCCATTGCCACTTCCTTCCTTCCTGAACGAGCAAAAGACAGGTGGTACTTCTGGCTCAAGGACAGGAAACGCCCACCACGCCCTCCACCTGTGGACCCACAGACAGACAGTTCTGCTCAGGCGGTTGTGGCGCTGGGACCACCACCTCCTTGGGTCTCTGGCTTAAAGGGACACGTACCATGGGGTCTCTCAGCACGTCTGTGTGGGAGCAGGTAAAGAGAGTGAGGGGTCTTAACTTCTGGGAAGAACTCCAAGGTCGCCCCAGGAGTACGCTGGGGAGCGTGGCGTAGCTCCTAGACAAACTGGAGATGAGCTGGACCTCCTGGCCTTCCTCAAGGCCCGGACCTTCCAGACTCTTTCCTGGCAACACGTCTTCCTGGAGGCACGAGTGGTTCTGAACCTGTGATGCTGTCCAGCTTCCAACAACGCAGGAAATCAGCAGAAACGCTTGCCTGCAGCCCCCTTCCTCATTATAGTAGCAGCCCCTGCACGAATTCTCCCCAAAGTCAGGATCCTTTAAAATGAGTCACATCCTGATGTCTTAACAGCTTGACAAACAGTTTTTAAGCGGCGGGAAAACAGAACACTCAATGAAGTATCTTTGTACAGATTCGTTTTATTGAGATTTATGTAAGCAATTTATCAACACAGGAAACCAGCCTTGCTGCTCCAGAATCACTAAAAGATGTTGACACTAACCGACGGTGACACAGCACACGCGGGCGGGTGACCACAGACTCGGAACAGCATCTCATAGGTTGCTGTTTCAGACGTGCACTAGTAAACGTACACGGAGAGAGGGCCATACTCCCACTGGCACAATCGATGTGAAAAGAGATAAAAACAAATGCTAATTTTATAGGTACAATATCTAGATTTGCAATATCTAATTCACTGGCTTCACTGTGTATACCAACGCACAATAGAAAACGGATTTCTTTCTTTAAGGGTATCACACTTCACCAAGAATACAGGAAATACGGTACCACACTGATGGCGAGGCAACTAGGAAGACAGGCAGAGCAAAGGTGAGCACGTGGGGAGCAACCCCCCTCGCAGGGCCCGATCCCTATTCTATTTCACATAAATCCTGAAGGGTCCGCTCAAAAATGAGACCTCTAGTAAAGCTTTTATCATATACGAGGCCATTTGCCTTTATGACCCCATTTTCCAAACCATTTTGAAACAGCGAGGGGGAAAGAGTCACATTTAAACGTGCCACTCCTAGAATCAGTGTTCTTAAACACAGCTGGCCAGTTAGAAAGAATGGTGTCGCGTAGGAACTTTCCATCCAGCGCTTGACAAAGCAGGGGCGACAGTTGAGTCTAGAGGTGACGGGAAGAGTGATTGTGGGGATTTGGCACAATCGGAGTATCAGCTCCGAAGGCCAGCCGTCCAGAAAGGATGTATCTATCGGCCCCGCCCACTGGGGGGCCCTGGAGGAGGCGGTGCCTTTAAAACCAATATACGTCACAGAGAATTACACCAAAAGGTTTCATTGAAATTCTTTTATAATGTAGCCAGTCTAGCGTAGAGCATTCTGGGCACCTGTCAACAGGCAGGCGGCCTTCCGGAGAGGTAGATGGAAGCAGTATTTCATAGCCAGTTATCTGCAGATGGTACCAAAAGCAGACGCCTCTCCGCACAGACCCAAGGATGCGCTGTTGTCGAAAATAGTCACAGCCCGTGAGAAGAGCCGTTCGCCGCACATTGCTACACGCAATATTTCGATTTTATTTTGTGAAAAACAGAAAGGACGGTCATTCCTTTAAATAACAAACTATACACATAAAAAGGAGCAGAAATGATAAGGAATGTTTCTGAGGGAAACAAACTCAAGGATTCAATAAATAATATAAAAGGCTTTTGTGCTAAAATAGACCTCTTGTTTTATATATATCTGTAGTTTAGCAATTCTTTATGTTACCCAGAAAAAAGCCAAATCTATTATAATTAGTGAAAACATAGAAAAATACAGCTTAACAACAGAACAAAAAATTGGCCAGTGTTTAGCTTGTAAACCACATATAATATATACATCATGGAACATAAAGCGACTAAGAAACAAATTTCAAGTCCTTTGTAATATGAATACATGATTAGAAATATTTCCATTCCCTACCCTTACAGCAAAGCATATTATATTAGGATAGAATAAAAAACGGAAGCATAGTCACCAGTTTTCAGAGATTTTGAGACTGTTAGGTACAAGAAGTGAGCTCTGCTATATGAGTTATTTATCTCTAAAATGCAGGGGTTTTCCTATGTTTCTGATGAAATGTATACACTGTTAACCCATTTTCTGTAGTGCGTTTTTTCAAAATAAAGGCAATTTAAAATTTGGGGTGCTGCATTTACGGATCAATGGTACCCCAGCCCCATCAGGAACCCGGCCCGAGGGTTGGCAAGGGGGCGGGCCATTTGCATGTTCCAGGCCCTAGGACACTGCGGGGGTCCCATCCCTGGTACTCCGCTGTTGGAACAGCTCTCTTATCTTCGGGGGCACAGGAAATCCAAAGTCCACTGACTTGAGGAAATCGAGGAGGATCATTCTAGAGTTCAACTTTCATTAATTCTACAGTACAATTTTTAAAAATGTGGCCTGGATAAAAATATTCATATTAACATGAATCTAAGCAATTAATTCAAGGCTCTCAAGTCAACCTTAGCTGGGAGGGAAAGTCATGTGAGATCTCTCAGAAAAAGAATTTTGAAAATTTAAACGATCACGGCTCCCTCTAGAAATGGGCACGGGTCCCGTTATCTTCTAGAGGTTTTATGGAAACGTCAGTGGATGTGCAAGTGTCCGAGCTGAGCAAAGGGCGATGCCCCGACAGCCACCCAGACCCCACCTCTGGCCTCCACTGGCTGCAAGGTGACACGCAGACAGGGTGTCAGCTTGGGTCCCGTGAGCCCTCTCCGGCGATGCTGGATGACAAGCTGCCGCGGCCTAATTTCTACGGAAAGTCCTGATGGAAAGCAATCGGTCTGTTATTAAATCCAGCAGCTCCATATTCAAAAATAAAGTGACCAAGTCTTACAATAATTACTACTCAACTCCTCTGTTAAAAGGGGAAAAAACCCAAAACATCAAGTTTAACTCAGTCATCTCCTGAGTGCTTTAGGGGATAAAGGGAATGATTTTTATCAGCAAATTAACTCCTTTCTTCCTTTGCCCCATCTCCACCACTAGCCTTCTTTCCGAGACACCCTCTCCACTCACCTCCCAGCCACCACCTGTCACGGACCCAGTGAAGCCCCACACCTCTCCAGGCACCAGCACCACGGCAGGCCCTTGGGGTGGGGCGGGGTTCATCCCTCCAGCATCTCTGAGTGACCTGGAAACACTGCCCTGAACAGAACAGAGAAAAAGTTCCACACGCTCCAATCATACAAGATAAGGCTTATCTCACCTCAGCACATTGCAAAGTATTTTTTATAGATAGACATGAGGCGAAAAAAGTCCAACTTTGAGAATTTCGTTTTCTTCTTGGTTTGTGAACATTTTGAAACTGCAGAAAAATCAATTCCACTGTAGAGTCAAATGTTGTATTGAACTGACCCAACTATAAATTCCAAATGAAATGAAAACAATCATCAGGAAAAAAACCACACTTTGATCTTTTTAATCTAGACAGATCACATTGTCGGTGGGTAAACGGTATTTTTTAATGGCCACTGAGGGCCTTAAAACAATTGTTTCTAATATCTGTACGGCATATTTCAAACTGCAAATCAAGCCGAATCTTGCTTGAAAATAGATCATTGCTGTTGCTGCCCTTGTTTCCAGTTGGGTCGCTCTCTTTCTTGAGCAGAATGCTTCCTTCCCCCAACAGGACTCAGCGTTTGGCCCCTTCTTTGCAGATACAGAATTTGAGACGATAACAACAGTGAGTCGACCAATCAGAGACACGTCACAGCAGAACATCTGCATCAGCAGTGAAACAATGCTAATTTCTAGAAGTCTTGCTGAAAAATCACACTTCAACATGATATAGAAAGAAAACCCAGGAACCCCAATAACACAAGGGGAATAAATGCACCAAAGAGAATGCTTTAGGTTAAAAAAAATAACCTTGGATTCACAAAAGTTTTTAATTTATTCCATACACGTTGTATAGCAGCTTAAAGTAATCTATTATTTCTAGGTTTTGCTTTATTCATTTCCTTTGAATTATGAGATCAAGACTTATAACACAGTTTTATAAAAATAATATCAACTTCGCTTATCTTCTTTGACAATATTAAAATATCCCGCCCAGATAAATCTAAAATAATAAGAAGACTGTGCTGAATTTTGTCCTTTTTAATGGTCAAACACAGGAAGGGTCACATAGAAAACCAAGAACAGCCACATCTACCAAGACTTGCAAACCAACCACCTCCTGTGACCGCCTGGGCACCAGGCGCAGGCACGGAGGGGTCCCGGAAGGGTCTTGCCTCCGGCAGCAGAAACACGGACCCCATCAGAACGGCTGCAGGCACCAGTTCGGGCGGAAGACTTGCCTGGCCAGGACGGCCAACCAGACCCAGCACAGCCGAGACGCCCCACAGGCCGCCCAGCCGCATCCCCCGCAGCTCTTGTGGTCAACTGCATCCCTGTAACGAACTTCTCAGCCAGGTCATTACACATCGAACGTGAGGGGGGCATACAAGTTTACAGGAATAAGTCTGAGGCTAAAGGACTCTCAGGATATCTTCCAGTTCATCTTTCTTTTCTAAAAGAGAGATGAACCTTATATTTTACTCCAGAGCAAATATCATATTTTTCAGAGATGCAAACTGGAGTAGCTATCGCCCTAGGTGTGACATGGGCGACGCTGACCCTGAAGGAGGCCCCGTGCCCTCCCCACGCGCCCGTCACCCTGTCCAGCAGAGGCCTGGGGCACAGCGACTCCTCAACCTGAGTGCTGAGCACGCGGGCGCTGGCAATGGAGCCGGTGACCACGCGGTGACAGCCGTCATCAGCCACGCCTGGGAGGACGCGCCCTCTTTATAAAGAACAATTGCTTTGCTGTCTCTGGCGGTTTTTTGCTTTGGCTTTAAACAGAATTTGAATGCTAGTCTTCCCTTTCAAATTGGGGGAACCCGCGTAAATAGCACGCCTCCCCTATGTTCACACAGCAGATGGCAGAACACGTATTTTAATTTAGACTCTGACTAGTAGTTGAGACGGACAGTGACCCTCAGAGTTTCTTTTCCAAAGTAACTCCTATGAAATAAAAGACTCTATCAGCAATTATCTTCCAAACTTTCAAAATAGAATTTCACTAGAAAGTACTTATTTTCTCAGTGAACATGGCGCACGAATGTCCAAACAAAGATTTGGGACGACTGAAAATATCGAGGACGGGGAGCAGATAATCACAATGTCAAGTCATGTACACTGTTAGTGGTTCACTTAGAAACATACAACAAAATCACACTAAGAACAGGACAAACATGTGGACTCTTAAAATTACTGTTATCATTTTTAGTCTGAGGACATGGGGGACGTCGTGGGGAAGCACTCTGGTTCTTCTAACCCAGCACTTTACTGGGACACGAGCAGGGCACGGCAAGGAGCCGGTGGCATGGGCAGATGGCCTCTACGCTCAGATGGGGTCCTGTCACAGAACCCACCGGTGCAAAGTGTCATTCCCTACGGACAGACCCAGGACAACACAAGAGTCAATAGACACAGTTAACCCTTGTTGACACATTCATTCTTCGGCATTCTTTTTTTCAATAAAACTCACTTTAAATTACACTAAAATGGCAAACAGAGCAATTCTTTCCTTCCTTTACACATCCATCACTCCTATATTTCCTGAGGGCAGGCAGAAGGGACCAGAATTACCGCGTCACACGACTGCTTATTGGTGAAACCCGAGAGACTCACCCACAAGCGTTCACACACACCCGGACCCATGAAAGTGCTGCTGGTTTACTCGAACATTCTCAAAAATCGCTATTGCCCTAAAGGCAAGACCTCTACCGCGTCTCCTTCAGAATCACCGTCCACCTCTCTGAGGATCCACCGCTGGACGCCTTCAGTGACGAGTGGCTCCATGCGCCCCGAGGTCCCCAGGCCCTGGGCCCTGGCAGAGGCGGGCCGCTACCTGTGTGGCCCCAGCGCAACCTCTTTAGAAAACATCTTCAGCTTTCAACCACAGGACAAGAAGAAGTCAGTTCTCGGAGGCACAGAAGAAACACACGGTCGATCTCCCCCTCCCTCAGCAGCATGGAACAGAGACAGAGAGAGTCAGCAGTGGCTGTTTATAGACAAAATATGACAACACTGGGGCAGTCCATTACTGAACACTGCAGACAGGCAAATGCCATCTGGGCAAGTCTAAGATACATTTGACATCGGCCATATAAATTGAAGTGACAAGCAGGAATCGTCTGGAGTTCTAGGTTCGTATATACCAAAATATGTGTGTAGCAAAGAAAAAGAGCTTTCGTGTCCTCAGTAGTTTCGAGTGCGGACAGATGCGGTGGCGTCAGGAGGACGCAGGAGGGGAGGTGGGCCGACTCCGAGCCTGAGCGTGCTCACGGCTCCTGTTGGGAGCATCTCGGGGTCCTGGGTCTTCCCAACGGTGGAAGAAACCCGGAGATGAGGGACCCCAGCCTCGACTCCTCACGCTTCTCCAAAGGGCCCATTTCCAGGGCTGGCAGCAGCCGGGGTGGACTTCCTCCAGGCACGTGGTCCCCAGAGCCCTCCCCGCCCTGAGGTCAGAGGCCATTGCTGTTCCTGTGGCAGAGGGGCGGCTTGGCGAGCTCGAGCAGCCCAGCTCGAGGTTTGTTGAGGAACTTGGGGGCGCGCCGCAGGAGCCGCTGGGCCTCCGTGAAGGTCTCGGTGAGCTCCTTCTTCCACTGCACAAACTCGGGGTCACTCTACACGGAAACACACAGGCACAAGTCGGGACAGCCCCCCCATGCGGCCACAGGCGCGGACGCCTCTGGTCACTACCAGGGTCCTCGGAAGCCCCCATGAAAGCACCCTCTACCTCTCCGCCCCACCGCGGAGCCATCAGCAGTGACTCATGCAGTGACCCCCTCCAGGGTCTCTGCAGAGAGAAGGCAGGGCTGGGTCAAGCCCCTTGGACGATCCCCATGCAAGCCCCCCGGAGAACCAGTGCCTTTAGGTTCTGCAGAGACCGCCTCTGACTTCTGACTTCCAGAACAACTCAAGTCTAAAAACAAGCCACGAGCAGGACCTCTGACAAATTAAAAGGCATCTCCCCGTATGCAGTGCAGTCCTGAAGCTCTTAATCACGTTTTTGTATCTACCATGGTTTCTCTCTCTAAATACACTCTGTACACACACACGCCCGTACCCCAGCAGAAAAGTGCTCAGGAATTAAATTTGGGCTACGATAGAAATTTGGGGAGAGAAAGATGGCCTTTCTCCAAGAGGAGTCCCTTTGGTACTTCATGTTTATTTAACCATGCAAACCTCAACCTGGAACGTGAGGAAAGATAAGATCTGGGAAAATTATGTGTCAAATACAATTCTAGGCCCCTATGACACACTGCACAGAGTTTCCAGATCAAGTCATCAAGTCATTCCATGTACTTCCTCCTCACATTTTCTAATATTTGTTCCTTTAACAATAACTGTTGGGCCGGCCCCATGGCTGAGTGGTTAAAGTTAAGTGTGCTCCACTTTGGCAGCCCAGGTTCACAGGTTCAGATCCTGGGCATGGATCTATTCTACTCGTCAGCCATGCCGTGGAGGTGTCCCACATACAAAAAATAGAGGAAGACTGGCACAGATGTTAGCTCATGGCAAATCTTCCTCAGCAAAAAAGAAAAAAAAAAGTTAATTTGCTGAGAACTTGTACCTTGGGATTTCTTGCAAAGTCTGTAAGTGATAAAGCATGGGGTAAGAAAATGTTGTCCCACCAGGCAGCCATCTTTGCTGAATATTTATTTAACTGTTCTAACCTTCATCTAAGGAAAACGACATGAAAACTCACCTCACATTGCATGACAAATTGCTTCCCTCCTTTTATCCGCAACAAAATGCACTTTTTATCTTTAATCTGAGTTTCTTCCACAGACAGAATCTGTTCCATTGTCAGTAAATTTTGCTAACCATAGAAAGAAAAAAAAAATGATTAATTACTTCACATTATTTCAGGATTTCTTAAGTTAAATGAATAAATAACACCCCAAATGATAAGCTTAGAAAAAATTTAAAAAAAAATTGGTATTTTTCTTTCTTTGACAATATTCTAGAAGTGGGAAGAAATGGCTACAAAAGAACCTGAAGAAAAGTTCAAATTAACACATCTCAGAGAAAACCGCAAAGAAAGGAATGTCTCTCTAAGGCAAAAGAGCAAAGCTATTTCCCTCAACGCAGAATTGATTTTTAGATGGTTAGGAACCATATCGATGCTTTCTGTAAACTCAATCAACACAGCCATGAGGGAACGGCGGAGCGCGACAGGACTTACTCGAGCAAAGGCATGGGGCTGAGTCTCAACCCCGCAGCTCAGTGAATGTCAGGGAACGCTAGCCTGAGAACATCACAATGATCTTCTCAATACCGGTGACAGCCTTAAAAGATGTCACACCAGAGCTATAGCACTATTGCCTAAGGGGATGCTAGAGTGTCCGGGGAACCTTACCATTTTATGTTTTTTTGGATAAATATGCCTGGAACCCTAAAAGACAAACACCACCACCATCAACTCTCACATTTCCTTTTTCCTTATTTACACTTAGGAAGCCACCCATGCATATCATGTAGCTTCTCGAACGGAACGCTGAACGTTGACTCTTAAAGATAATTTATTGCATCCGATGTGAAACACAGGAAGACGTTTTTTTTTTAGTTTTCAAACATCCTGAAAAGTAAGACAATTTCCTTTCAACGTGCACAAGAGTGACTTACCAGCAGAGAGCACAATAAATGCAAAATATGACCAGGGCCACTCATCATCTGGAAATATTATATATTATAATATATATGGAAATATTATAGAATTATATAATAAGATCTATACGAATTATAACTCAGATCCTGGTAAGTACAATATAATATAAATTATAAAATAGTAAAATATAAATATGTAAACAAAATAATATATATAATATATAAATATATACAAAGAAAATATCTATTTTATATAACATTATATATTTTATATTATATACCACCTACCATCACCTGAGTTGTAATTCAGGACCCCCAAAGAGTCTTATTAACGTAACTCAGATCCTAGATACAATAACTTTTAGAAAATGACTTCTGGGGCCAGCCCGGTGGCGCAGCGGTTAAGTTTGCACGTTCCGCTTCTCAGCGGCCCAGGGTTCGCTGGTTCGGATCCCGGGTGCGGACATGGCACCACTTGGCAAGCCATGCTGTGGTAGGTGTCCCACATATAAAGTAGAGGAAGATGAGCACGGATGTTAGCTCAGGGCCAATCTTCCTCAGCAAAAAAAAAAAAGAGGAGGACTGGTGGTAGATGTTAGCTCAGGGCTAATCTTCCTCAAAAAAAAAAAAAGAAAATGACTTCTGTGGCACTAGTGACAGAAGATCTTGTTCCTCTGCAAAGAATGTGGTGACATGCAATGGCAATCACTCCTAATTAAATGGCGTCCTCACCAAGAGAGATTTAGAAAATGCATTCCCAACTCAAAGATAAAGATACAGGACGCGGGCTTACAGCCGTCCACATGTCTGACTGCTGGGGCACTGAGGGGCAGCCTCCCACACATCCGGGACATCACCCTCCCTGTTAACCGCTGGGCCCGCTGTCCCGCTTCCCACTGGCCGTTCCCTCCCCAAGAGCAGAAACACACCTTCTGCCTGGGGGGGTGCCTTCCCCGGTGACAGGCCCTGTGCTCCTCACACAGCAGGTGCTCAATAAATGCTGCCTGACTTGCCAAGAGAGACAGCGTGGACGAGAACTTTCTTGTTAGCTTGTTCACAAACACTGGCTCCTAAAGGACCTGAGCTGCATCTCCCCGTCTAACTGTATGAAATCCCTTACGACACGAGCTGGACCCTCAAAGGCTGCTAAGCAAATTAAATGCGCGTTTTTTTAAACAGCATCTGGCCAAAGATAAATATTCAAAAATTGTAGTTGTTATCATTTCTATTTCTCCCGTTTCACAGATGAGGAAACTGAGGCTCAGTCCACGTCATGTGCTCCGAGTCCCAGAGACACCGAGCTGTGGAGTTAAGCGCCTCTGTCTGACTCCGACGTCCCGGAGTTGCTTTCTTTTAGGATCTACCCAACTGCCCTCCAGTCTCCTGACCTCAGCGAACGGCACGGTCTATTTTCAGATATTACGAAATCCTTCCCTTGACTCAGAAGTTTAAAAATTAAAGTCTGCACATTAAAATCTGATGCACACGAGTTAAAATAGAGCGAGCGTCGGAGGACGCTTTCTGCAGCCGGTCAGCCATCTGAAGTCCCCGGCTGACGGTCGGCAGAAGGAGACAGCGCACGTGGCCAGCCCGCCCCCGAGACTTACTCGGGACTCCCCCTCGCCTCTCCATTCCAGTCGGTTTGGAAAGAGGTAAAAATATCGCCGCTGCCACTGAGTCAGAAACGGGTTCCCCAGCTTCAGCATGTACCCGTGCATGATGCAGTCTCTTCCCAGCGCGTAATCTGAGGAGCAGAAAATAACCAGAAGTCACACAGGCGCTGGGACAGAATGTCCCTGTTACTCTCAGAGAAAAGGAACTACACGCTTTTTGGAAAAATCAAGTTTGCATAAATCTAACACATTACAGAAACCACGATTTCTGTTTTTAAATGCGTGTTTACTGGGACTCTGAACAACAGGCTTCTTCAACCCTCGACTGGCATAGGAAATGGCCATTGCTCAATATTCTGATAAATTCCTGATGTTCGCTTATGGCTCTGAGAGGGCGAAAGCTTGTTCCCAAGCTATATTTTTATCATGTGTAACGAGAACTGGAGAAGAGAGAGTCGTTACATTCAAGCTATGCCCACAGCACTCCCGCCTTCCTGTGGGACTGGGGATCTCCCTTCACTCTTATAAAAAAGAACAGAGTGGGGGTTTTCTCGTCCAGTAAGCCTAAGTAACACAAGGATCAGAAACTGTTCATTCCTAGATTTAAGATTATGTTTATCCTCCAAATATATGGTTACGTAGACAGACCAGGCTAATTCAGACTCATGTCGAGCCCTGATTACATTTTTATAGGGAAGTATTGTCTCTTAAAAAAAAAAAAAGAAAAGCTTAAGTTGAAGTGGCTGGCTTTGCCTTCATTAAAGGCCTTGGTGACCATGCTAACATCATTCATTCACTCCCTTACCCATTCATTCTACAACTATTACGTGGACACCTAGGTGCCGGCGTGTGCTGGGCATTCTGGATCCAGCAATGAGCAAAAGACAAACTCCTCACCCTCGGGGTCACATTCTAAGGAGGACATTCAGACTGTAAACAAACAGGCCATCCCCACGGTGCCTCCCATGAGCACGGGCAGGAGGGGAAGAACCCAGGGGCGAGGGGACGAGGGGGGGTGGAGGCGACGGGGACGGGGGGAGCTCCACGGAGCTGCCATGTTAATAGCAGAAGTGTCTGCGTTTCTAAAGGGCATTTAAAGTGTCAGCCTTGGATGCTGACTTCCGAGATCTGAGGCCATGCTAGAATGTTCCGTGAGGTCGACTTCTCAGATCTGCAACCGAGACCCAGCTATGCCCAAATGACTCCCCAACACAGGGAGACCCACTCATTCCCCCGCCAGCCATTCTAACGGCAGCTCTAACGAAAAGGAGCCACTTCAACAAGGTCATTAAGACGTGCGTTTTTTCTGGGTCCAATCTGTCAAGATTTTAGTGCCATCGTGGCTCGCCCGTGAGCAAATTACCATGGATATATATAAGTTCCTGTGTAAAATCTGCTGGGCAAACAGTCCAGAGCGCTCTCGATGGACCTGTTTTCTAAGGAAGAGCTTAGAAGTAAGGGCCTTTTCTCTGCAGAAGGGAGGTGTGTGCGGTCAGAGGGCTGTGACGTCCCCTTGGTGTGCCCAGGTGACTCCGATGCCAGGAGTAAGGATAAAAGCTACTGGGAAACTGCTGATAAGATGATGACGCCGCAGCAAGACGCCCCACCGAGGCAATCTATTACACAGGGAAGCTCTCTCTGGTCATTCTTGCCCTATATTCACCTCGCAAAGGTCTTTAATTAGAAGTAAAACGAAGTGATATCTTACTACCATCAACCACAATAAATTGAAGTATATAAAATTCATAAGGTCTTAGAAAAAATCAAGAGTGACGATACGTGGTGCGTCAAGAATAAATGGTTTATTGAACACTGGATGTAATGAGTTCTGCTTTGAAAATCCTCACAGGGCACTCAAATATTGTAAATCAAAATACGGTTGGGCGATTCTTCAATGCTGTTGATAACATAAATGTATTTATAGACACTTACATCTCTGGACAAGTGCCCTGTGATGCTAAGTTCCTGACCAGGACCAACTACAGTGGAAAAGGAAAATGCAGGCCCCCTGTTTAAAAATCATTAAGAATGTCACGGTGGTGACAGCAGAGCCTTAAACCAAGAATCTGAAGGCTCCAAGATAAGAGGACACACCACAAAACACTGCTGCCTGTCTTGACACATTTTTATTTATGTCAACTGAAGACTCTGATATATTAAACTGAACTTTTCCAAGCCAGAAAAAACTAAAACAGGTTATGGCATTTCCCCCTACTGGAAAGTACTTTATGACCCAAACGCCTTTTTGGCTTTACGAGAACTTTCGAAAATGCACGGCATTGGAAATACTTCGAGACACACTCGCTCTTTTACCTTCTTCGTGGCCGAGCTGCTTATTTTTAGCTCTCTTCCTGGCCTCGAGTTTATCCGTGTCGGCGTTTACTGCTTCGTAAACGGTTTCGGCAATTTCCTGCTGCCAGCGCTCAGAGATCACCAAGGGGAAATTCTTGTAGAGCTCTTGGTCGCAGTCAAGAAGCTTATTTTAAGAAATCGAGAGGTTTATGGTTTAACATACTTACGAAGGCAACAGATTCAAAAGCACTGTAACTGCATGTAGGAAGATAACTAGAAGACAGCATATAATCATTCAGAGACAATGGATATTCGTTGTCACAAATCTCTATAGGGACAATCAGGCAACCGGGATCCACGAGTGGTTAGAACTGATGAGCACTTCACTTCCGTTCCTGGATCAGCCAGATTCCGCCCACTTTTCTAGGCTCTCTTCATTACATTTTTGCCAGGGAAAACTAACATATAGAGGGTTTTATTTAAAGTATTAAAAGATTCTAATGACATAAAATTTTATTTATGGCAAGGCTATTTTATTTATAAAAGTAAGAAAGTAGACTCCTAAGGTTTCAGACCCAATGACAAGGGAGAAGCCAGGAGGGCTTTCTAACCACCTCAATTAATCTGAGAAGTGAGAAAACCAAAAGATAAGCTAGGAATTTACCATCCATTCCATGAACCTCCCACTGAATTCCAGTCTAACAGCCTGATCATACGTACAAGTGGGTCTAAAGCTTAAGATACACAGAGAGTTCAGGCCGCATGGCCTTTAAGAGCTGCTGTAATAAAAACTACACTTAAGGACAGCATTTCCCTTCCAAACTATTACTCAAAATTCTTCACACTTCCCCCTAGGTGAGGCTGAACTCTGACAATGAGCAAGGAAAATGGTTTTATGCATCTGAGCCACAGTTTGGTGCCGGAAAGGCGAGCAATCCCACTGATGGAAAATAACACGTTTGCCTTTCGAAAGCCCAAATCTCTCTAGAAACCTGATTTGCTCACTCTCTTGCCTCGGTACAGGATGGACAGTAGAAAGGTGCGTGATGTAGAGGGAAAAGAGCGAGCGAGCTTGAAGCACTAGGCCGCAGGCCTTCAGCCAATGAGTCGACACCGGAAGCACATGGGCCCAGCTCCCGATCCGGGCGGCCCCTCCGGCTCATACTGACCCGTTATCATAACGTGCTGATCGAAGATTGCTTGATTCCTACAGCCTCCCCCTTCCTGCTTCCTTCAGACGCCCAAACCAAGCCCAGAGCTCAAATGCTCGGCTGTTCAGAGTGTGAACACCAGAGGCACGTGCACACCCGTCTGTGAGTGTGTGAGTGTGTGTGTGTGGTGTGGTGCTGGAGCATCAGGCCAGAAGAGCACCCTGATCAGGGACACTGGGCCAGCCCTGAAGAGTCACAGTAAAAACACCCTCCTTTCCAAAGCAGCTGTTCTGGAAGGGTCGACTCTGCCTCACGTACAAACTGCTCCACCTCCCACAGATTCGGGAAGGCCTCATCTTTACGACCCAGCCCATGTTGTTAAAAATGAATAAAATAAACAACAAAATTTATATTGACATGAGGTGAGCTTTTTCCTTAAAGAACAATGTACTATTTGGGGCCCCTTTTCAAAGATAAAGAATAGATGGCTTCTTAAAATGCAGCTCCCACTGGACGAGGCCACCTGGGGCCAGGACCCGGGCTCCTCATCATGCTGCCGCCCTGCCACCCCTACTTCTGACTCGAAGCGTGCTGGTTCTCGGCTGTTGCTCAGGAAAAGCCCAAACCACATAATAGCAGCTCCTCGTGTGAGCGCCGACTGTATGCCAGGCGGCTTCCCCAGCTCGTCTCATTTATGCTGAGAGAAATCGTGGCGATGGAACCGCTCACGTTCCAGGTGAGACTCCCGCGGTGGCAGGAAGTGACCTGAAGGGTCCCGGTTCGCTCAGCTGAGTGTGGACTTGAGCCCAGGCTGTGACTCTGAAGCCTAGACTATGAGTGACAAAACTTAAGAGGACCTCTTCGTGAGACTCTCTTTTACCATCAAAACATTTCACAGGCTCCCACGTGACGGCCGTTTTATTTTTAGTCCCTCTGATGGACAACAGTACATCTGGTGACAGGAGTCTATGTGACAGCAGTAATCCTGTTAAGTAACTTTGGAAATGGATTGTCCACACGCCCTGCTGCAGAGAGGCGCTAACACACCTGACACGGACTGGGCGTCCAGGTCACAGACGCCGCCTAGCGGGGTACACGTCTGGGCACTGGTCACACTGCTGTCCCCGGGCGAGCCACTGCTCCAGACCACAGACGTGGCCGTGGCCCTCTTGACTTCCCTCCTGCCTGAGCCCCAACTCCTGGGAAGCTGGTCCTGCAAACACCCTGCCGTCCTCTGGACCCAGCGCCTCTCCTGACACCGCCAATTCTAACAGCTTCCGCTGCCTCCCAGACCCCGGCTGCACTCCTCGTGCCCCACGAGCCAGCTGCTCCCTTCCCCACCATCTTCACACCTTCCTCCAGCCACCTCTGTCCCCATATCCTACGGATGCCGGCTCTGTGTGTCTCTGGTTACACCTCCCGCTAGGACCCTGCGTTTGACGTGTCCCTCTTTTCTCTGCGCCTCGCAGGTGTGTGTGTTAACGGGGCTGCAGCCTTCTGGAGGGGAGGATCTGAGAGGAAAAATGAGGGGGGCCTCCAGAAGAAGGGCATAAGCGCAGGCAGCTGAGAGGAGACGGGGAGCATCGCGGAGGGAGTGGGGAGATCCGGGGGCAGCGGTGAAAGTGGGGGCAGATGAACGCTGACACGAGTGATACACTTCAACTTAGCCTCCAGAAGCGGAGGATTCCTCTCTGACTCACCATCTGTGATGATATCTTGTCTACTTGGAAATATAATGATATGAACAAAAGTTCCCAAAATGCAGAGGATTAGAGAAAAAAAAAAAACAGTGATTATTTCACCTTTGACTGACATGCAAAACGATTCCTGCTGTCTGCTCTTTTCATCCCAACACAGAGAGATCTAAATCCTTAGAAGAATTACGATGCCTGGCTCTTTGGCACGAGGGGACGTACAATTGCCATCACACAGTTGTTTTTCTTGCTTCACACATATTCCAGTTTCATTTCAATCACACATATATCCAAATCAATACAACTCTGACCCTTTTGCAGTTTGTCCAACATAAAATGATTAGTCCACAGAAAGCTTTCACAGCTTCTAACTCATGTAGGTCCCTGACTTCCACGTTCTTCAAATACGCAGATATTCGTTTGTAAGTTACATGCCACAAACAGGCCAACACCAAGACAATCACTCAGTTTGGTTCCCAATAAAAAATCCCCCCACCCTCCCAGAAAACCACAAGCAAACATCACCCTCATACCTTGACGCCTTTGGTATCCTCTTCATCAAACGAACCAATGTCAAAGGCGTCGGCAGCATTGACTTCGCCCCGGGGAGGGATCAGGGGTGGAGGATACTGGAATACCCAAAGAGGTGTGGCTCAGGGATCAGATGACCTTACGGTCCCGTCCCAACCCACCACTCCACAAAGGGGACACCGCGCAGGGTATCCACACGCCGCACCGGGCAGCACGGCGTCCGAGCTCATACAAATCAATCACACGTTTCACAGACGAGCATGCGCACTGAAACAGCCCCAAAGGGAGCCCTGGATTTTAACAAATTTAAGTAAAAAAAGAAAAAGATTCATGCTCAAAGTCTTAAATAATTATTAAATATAGTGAAGCCTCAAAGCTGCCCATCCTCCCAGTGCAACGTTAAGAAAGCACGTTCTCTCGGATGACGGGGCCACATTCGAGCTGCTGCAGCATTCATGTACAACAGGGCCCCAGACAGAGGGCTCCACACCCACAAAGGTCCTGGGGCCAATGCTGACAGACCAGAGCTGGACCTCTGACTCGAACCAGGCGGGACTAACAGAGCATCAATCCTCCACAGTTTGAGTTCATGCAAAAACAAGTCCAAAGCTGACAACCGATGTTTTTAAAAAACTAATTTTGGGGGTTTGCCTATATCCATGAGAATATCAAAATATCTTGAAATAAAGATGATATCCAATTACGCTAATTCTTAAATTATGTGGTGCTGGGCTGGAAAGTATATGTAAGTTTATGACAAACGTTTCTCACACATTTTTACATAGATCTACATAAAAATAGTCACATATTGAGATAAGACGTCGAGAAGAGCTGAAGCTAAAAATGTCTCAATTGTGCGGATATTTGAATTAGCTACAGGACACTGCACCATGTGTTAATTTATATAGAAGACATTTTCAAAATGTTTAACCTAGGGAAATGAAGAGAGAGTGGCGGCCTCAGAGGGAATTAGCCACCTGGCCACACTTGGACAGAAGAGCAAGAACACCGCGGACAGGGGAGGCGGGGGCGGGGACCCACGGGAGCAGAGCCGGGAGGCAGAGACGGATGGAGAGACGGTGGAGGCCGTGGGACCCAGGGCGGGGTCCCAGGCGGCATACCTTCTGCAGGTAGACATGCTGCCAGTCAACGCCCTTGAAAAAGCTGTGCCCTTTCACCTCCAGTGCGCTGCAGAAGAGAGAGAGTCGTAACAGCGGTGAGCATGCAGTTGGAACTATAAGAAATGTTTGGCAAAAATTGTCTCTTATTAAGAACACAGAAGAAACAACTACTTCCAGTTCTTTAAGAAAGCAAGGAAAATATGTGTTTTTCAAGGCAACACAGGAAACACTGTGATGTTCAGAAATATTGTATGCTGAAGCTAGGAATATTATCCTAGATGATTATTTATTTGGGATGTTTATTACAGTTTATGACGACGTAAGAGTTTTCATAGATAAGTGTCTATTTTACAGATATATAAACAGATATATGATATATATATTAAGAAACAAGTTTTCCTCATTATAAATCAAAGAAACAAGTTTTCCTGGGGACCATCATTAAGGCTCAGTGGGTGCAGAACAGAAGCGGTGTATTTTGAAGACTGCCTGCATCAGGCAGTTCCCAGGCCCCACAGGGGTGCTCTGCCAACCCTGAGCCCCGGGGCGGGTTCTCGGCCCCCTTCCTCTGCCATCACTCCGTGGGTGACGGCACCCTGCCCGGGCCTTCAAGTGCCCTGTCCTAGCAGATGACCCCCAAATCTACACCCCAAGCAAGGCCCCCATGTCCGAGTGCCTTCTCGACCTTTCCACTTAGAAGAGGCGAAAAAGTCTACAGCGGAACTCCTGACTTTCCCTCCCACCCCCTGCAGCCTCGGGCCCACAGGCCAAGACCATCGCGACTCTTCTCTTCCCCCAGTCAGTCCCGGGCCCAACCGCTCCCTAGAACCTCCAATCCTCACGCGATGCTCAGGAGGGGCGGCGGCGTCTCTGATCACAGAGAGGATGCTAAAGATCCTGCACTGCATCAATGCGCCCAGCCACCACCCAGCCACCGCCACCGCTCACGGGAGCCGCCCTACCTGCCTCCTGACCCAGCCTCCACTCGCCCTGCAGCGCAGCCCACCCCTCGGCACAGCACCCAGGGTCCTGTTCAATGATCTCACCACTGCCCGGCTCCGAACTCTCCAAAGGCCCCGGCACAGGGAACCTGCGAGCCCACCAGCCTGCTGACCCGCTCCTGATCTCTCTCTCCTCTTGCTTTCTTAAATCGTGGAAGCTTGATTCCACCTCGGAGCCCTACCCTCCCTGGCCCCTGCGCCTGGAATGTCTGCCCTCCTTCACAAGGCTGGTGGCTCAGGCCCCGCCCTGCCTCGTTGACTTCTTCCTGTGCTTTCACTGTCTGTGGTCCTCTCAATCATCTGACTGTGTCCACAATGTGACCCCCCACCCCCAATGGAAGCTCCCAGAAGGCAGGGACATGTCTAGCTGGGTACTGCCTCAGCCCAGCACTAAGAAGGGTCTGGCACTCAGGGGGTTCAGCAAATATTTATGGAATGAAGGAAGGAAATCCAAGTCAGATTGTGTCCCTCTGCATTTTCACCACCAACACTTGGGTGATTTTCTTATTCTGTTCCACACTGTGCCCGTCACTGCTCCTCACATTAAATGTGGTAAGCTAACAAGAAGTCTGCCTGCACACATATACATCCAAGCAACTAAAAATACCCCAGGGAGAAGACTTCTGGTTCAGGTCGGTGACCGAGCACAGGCATATGACTTCACTCCTTCCCAGCAACCACCAAAATGATCCAAGAGGAACATGGAGGCACAAATCCACCAGGAAGAGAGTGACAGAGGACCATCAGCAGACAAGATGGGAGTGGATGGAGGAGCAGACACTGACGGCAAAAAGTGCCAGAGTTGTGCTCCTCTTCAGCAGCCCGGGTTCATGGGTTAAGATCCCAGGTGTGGACCTATACCACTCACCAACCATGCTGTGGAGGTCTCCCACATACAAAAAAATAAAGAAAGATTGGCACAGATGTTAGCTCAGGGTGAATCTTCCTCAGCAAAAAAAAAAAAAAAAAAGTGGCAGACTGCTGTCCTGGGGGCAGAGATGCTGAGCTCCAGGCTCATCACAGTGTGAGGCAGGGCGAGGGGCTGGGAGTCGGGGAGGCACAGGCTGAAGACAGAATGTTGACTGGAACTCTGTACATGGAACCCTTCACACATGCACACTTATGCTCATACCTCATACTTTCTTCCTCTGCATCCAACCGAAAACAACTGCAGCTGGTGTTTATTCTAATGAGTGGGGGGACCTATGAAAGGTTCCACTTTTTTGGTTTGTTTTTTAGTGAGGAAGATTGGCCCTGGGCTAACATCTGCGCCAATCTTCCTCTATTTTGTATGTGGGATGCTGCCACAGCATGGTTTGATGAGTGGTGTAGGTCCGCGTCTGGGATCTGAACATTCGAACCCCAGGCTGCTGAAGACAAGCGCACAAACTTAACCACTATGCCACCAGGCCACCCTGAAAGGTTCTACTTTTAAGAAATTAAACCTGCTAAAGATTTTAAAAAGCAATCAATAAAAGGGTTGGAAACTTAAGCTATCAGAAAGTCAAACAGAATCAAAGCAAAGACATAGGTAATATACAAGATCAGGAGCGTGGATGACCATTCTAGAAATCCCAGCTTCCATCTAACAGGAGTTCTAGGGGCGATCCAAGGGAACGGAGGCAAGGAGGTGTCAGATAAATCAAATGAAGAGCCGTCCCAATCGGGGGACTCGAAGTCCCGACATGACTGAGAGCCACGTTCCACACCAGCCCTGACTCTTCACGGGGGCGCAGTAAAGCGGTGTCTGCAAAGTTCGGGGGCAAGTACTCTCGGTTTAGAACTGTAGATGCAGCCAAAAGGCCAGTCAAGCTTGAAGACAGCAGGAAGACACTTCAGACATGCAGGAGCACAGAAAGTTTACCCCCACACGCCCTCTCTCATCTTCTCACATGAGAACATGCTCCAGTTGAAGGGTCTGGGACACGGCATGCAGACCCAGAAACGCGGAAGGCACGGGCTTAAGTCAACGGCAGATTCAAACCAGGAGGACCAACAAAGGCAAGGGCCTGGTAGGAGGGTGCTGATGAGCAGGAAGAGAAAGGAGGCCAGCACTCTCTGGAGCCCGTAGGCTGAGTCCCCACGAAAGGAAAGAGAAAACAGAGTCCACAGCTGTGAGATCATCTTTTGAAATATAAAGTATATACTAAAAAATTTTATATATATAAAATATATATAAATACACACACATATCATATATACGCCATATATATATAAAACAAAGTGCATGACCAGGCTCTGTAGAAACTGTGTAAGGAACGACACTTACGTTGCCATATAGTATAAATACTGCTTCTTCACTGGCAACTTTTGAAATCAGCCTTTTGTGCAAAGCGCAAAGACTGATTAGGATCCCAGACGAGGGAAGAAACAGTATCAATTTGACAATGTAAAAATAAAACTTAACAATGCCAGAAACTAAGCAGTGGGAGAGAAGACCACAACGCAAGACAGGATGCCCACCTCTCCTTCTATATATTAGGGACTCGAGAGACACTATTTATAGTGGGGAAACAAGGCCCACTGGGGAAGTACATTAATTTAAAGCGTCAAAGGGTAAGTGAAAAAGGAACCAAAAACAGTGCTTCAACTCTTTTGGGAGGTGGTGAAAAGGGACAGCTATATGGAGAGTAATAACTGAGCTAAATCTTTACCTATTATTGCAGGAATAAGTAACTTCTCAAATTAATAAATAAGGAAATATGCATATAAGCACATTCTTTAGCTATCTATATAATATACATATAATATATAGATATAATATGTATACACACATATGCTACTGTAAAAACACACGCATGCACACACATCTATGACACACATACATGAGTTAAAAGTTGTTTCTTATGCAAACCAAGCGATGGTGGAGGGAGAAAGAGGGGAAAGATCTCTCTTAAGTCTTTTTCTAGCAGCTTTCCAGGTATTACCGTCTGGGTTTTTTTTTTTTTTTTTGGCAGAGGGAGCAGCGGGTAGAAAGCACGTATAAGATGCAGTTAGTTTTGCATGAGAGAAAATATGCGAGTACCTGATCAGAATGTAAAACTGCCAAAATCACAAACATCATCATTACTAAAACTTAACCAAATGGACTATGCAACGTCGGAATTCATTCCCATCACCTCCAAGACTGACTTCTCAAGTTAAGAAGTTAGCGACCCCTCCAACTTGTTAATTTCAGAACACATAGGAAAATACACATCTATTTCCCATGTAATTTTTTCCCCTTGAATTGAGATGGAAGATTTTTAAGGACAAGGCAAGACTTTTTTTTTTTTTTTTGAGGAAGATTAGCCCTGAGCTAACTACTGCCAGTCCTCCTCTTTTTTGCTGAGGAAGCCTGGCCCTGAGCTAACACCCGTGCCCATCCTCCTCTACTTTATATGTGGGATGCCTACCACAGCACGGCGTGCCAAGTGGTGCCATGTCCGCACCCAGGATCCGAACCAGCGAATCCTGGGCTGCCGAGAAGCAGAACGTGCGAACTTAACCGCTGCGCCACTGGGCCAGCCCCAAGGCAAGACTTTTGATATATGGCAAGTAACTATTTGCTTTCCGGTAAAGACAGCGAAAGGCAGAAACAATGGCCTACCCGCCGCCGTGACAGCCGAGCCGCTTACTGACGTCTCGCTGGAGCAGGCCCTGCAGGAGGGACTTCAGCTCAGGGGAGAAAGTGTCTGGAAGTTCCACATTCTGGGGGAAAAAAGAGCAGGATTTCAAAAACGCATCCACGGACACAGCCTCCTCACACTCAGTCAGATTTAGAGAATAGTGTTGAAGATGGCAGATTCATCACAAATATTTACTCTAAAGAAACGAAACAGTTACTAGTCCTTTTCAGAGTCGATCGACAGGCTGGGGCCAGGCCAGAAGAATCAGAGGGCTCCTCCTCTTCTGCAGCTCAGAGATTTTCCCTCTGATTTGATCTCTTTAGCTTTGTTCTCAGTTTTCTGCACCTTTCTCTTACTATCGGTTGGCAAATCTTGATTTTACCTTGTCATCTATTTCCATTCATTTTTCTTTTAGAAATTCTTCTAGGGATTGTATTTTCACTGATTTATTTTAAGAAAGCAAATTTTTACACTCGTAACAGAATGAAACACGAAAATTAAAAAGCAAATAAAAATAGAGTTTTTAATCTCCTTACCACGGTCAGCGTCATTCGGTCTATCTCGTGCTTATCTTTGGTTTTATGTTGTCTGAAAGGGCTGTGACTGTAGAAATAGAGAACATGTTATTACAAGATGCTGTCACGTAACTTAGCGCCCATCAGCGGCTAGTGTATAGGTAAAGCATTGTGTTCTGTCACTGTTCATTCAAAACTACAGAAACACAAGAGCCATGAACATTTATCATTTCCAGAGAAAAACTGACAATCAGATATGTTAGATCCTGAAAGAGGAAGACTTATATCTCATTTGGACCGTCCCACCTTTAACTTCAATGAAATCACGGCACTAAAACACGCTTTAGCAAACATACTCCAAAGCATATTTTAAAATATTAGAAAAAACCTAATTAGTCAACAGGTAGCCATGAAAATGAAAGTCATTTATATAATATCTGCCACATTAGTGTCTGAGATATTAACTGTCATATAATTTTCTTTTTTGGAAAGATGTCTAATAGTCCCTCAAACCACCCACCCCAGGAGGGACAAACCAAAAACAGGACCGAGATGCACACGCTTCCCCTCGAGAAACCAGGGATTTTAAGCAACACGTTCCTCTGACGATAACAGAGATACACTAACCTGGGTCCCTGGACACCCAGAGATCTGAGAGCTCTTACTCAAGCTCTGCTCACGGGGACCCCGGGCTTAAGAGTCAGAGAACCTGGGCTCAAGTTGCAACTCGTCTGTGCACTGGCTGTGAGCCAGTCACAGAAACCTTCAAAACCAATTTCTTCATCTGTATAATGGGTATAAACGCCACGTCCCTTGCAGAAACAGGGAAGGGGACAACCAAAATGATGTATATGCTAAAAGCCAAGACAATGGCAGTATATAGTAGGTATCTAATGGAGTAATCATTTGTGAAGTTAATGAAGGTGAATCTCACTTTATAAAATGAATGTCTGCTTGATAAACTATGTAAAACAAATTATTCTCACTCTTTACCACGTTTTTAAAACTCTGGAGAAGCTGGCTTTTAAAGGAAATCTTACCATTCAAAGAGACTATTAAATACGCAAATTAGCAAATCTCATTGCCTTATTTATTTATTTGAAAATTAAAGAAAGGATATAGATGATTGTACTTTCTTACACTGAGATATGCCTGTAGAATGGTTAACCCTATAGATTTGTTTATAAGCCATAGATAATCTGAGGCAAGATATTATGTAAAATATTTGAAAGTTAACTATAAAATGGATTAGAAAGTAGAACACATAAATCAGTGTGATTTGGAAAAAATAACTAAAATTCTACATATCTTTGCTCTCCCAGTGATCTGGCCACCTTACTGAATTAGCTAAGTCATGCACCGAAACATTTCTTGAAGAGATGGTTACATCTCAGAGCATTTCTTGTCTTAAATATTTTCATTTTCATTTTGTACAAAAGAGGGCACTCTAACGCCTTATTCTCTTTCTTATCATGCAGTGAAACACAAGGTAATTTCCATCCCTTGAAAGCATTAATTTTGGGGAAAAAAAATCTAAACAAGGTGAATTAGTCCCAAGCAAACATACAGTGATTTTCAAAACAGATTCGGATTGGAAATATTCTTTTCACCCTGATTGTTTCCAAAGAGAAAAATGCAAAAGGAACGCCTTTAAAAAGCAAATAGGATACGACCCCAAACAGTATCTTTTTGTTATTTATAAGATATAATTTTTTAAAAGGATCATACTTATATCGCTCTGTTACGCAAAATGCACAGGGATATTAACATGCTCATGGTTTGAGAGAAGAGGAGTAAAGGTTTATGAAATCCTACTAAAAGCTTAGTCTCTCTGTTTTCCACCCCACAAAGTTCCTTACTGTACAAAAGGGGATTATGTGAAGATCCTGCGTTTGTGCAGACCCTTCTGGATCTGGCTGTCGAGTGCAATGCCAGAGGCCCCCTCACCAGCTCCTGACCCTCGCGTGCTCGCCCGTGTCTGCCCCGGAACGGAGGGCTGTGTCCTGCCTCTCTGGAGAAGGGTGGCTGTGCCCTGCCAGAAACGCTCTGTGCTAAATTTAAAAAGCCCTTCATGAGACCAGAGGGAGGCCTGCAAGGGGCCTGGAGTCAAAGTTAGAGATGCCAAAAACATTTGCAGCACATGGGCCCTGTCCCTAAAAATCCCATTTTATAAATATAGCTATTCCGTGTCCAACTCAGTAAGCAATGATCGGAAATGCTTCGCAGCTCTGCAGTTCTGTGCCATAGTGTTGAGAAAGTTTGGTCTTTCAAGTTAAAAATCTTGATGCACGTCTGTTTCCAATGTATTCTTGATTATTCTTTGTGACTGAAACCAAAGGATCTGTTTCTATTTTGGAAAATGTTAAAGAAAAGCTCCGATAGTAATAATCTCCATTCTGAGCGAGGCACGTGGTGCCCACAGCCCCTGTGTGATACAGCTGCTCCCCCAAGCAGCCGCTTTAAATAGGAGACAGTCACAGGCCTGTCGATGGCTCCCAAGGCGGGCCAAGTTCTGCCCACAGCACATGCCACATTCCAGCTGCATCAGAGAATGCTATGGGAATAGAAGTGACATGTGCAGTGGTCAGACGTGGCTTTGGAAGGACAGATAGAGCTGCAAATTTTCCCCAGATGAGCTGGGCAATTCTTCAAGACATGATAAATGATGGGGGAAAACGCACACACACACCACATCAGAGATATCATATTCACGATGAAACAATGAGTTCAAAAACAATACATCTATAATGAAGTGATTAAAAACTCTTACATCAAAACTTAATTTTAGAATACCAAAAAGATTGCACGTTACATCAAATCTGTGTTTTGAACCTAAGCCAACAGCTGCCAAAATATTTATAAACATTCCTTTTTTCCTGATGGAACAAACTGGGTAACCTCAGGCAGAGCCCAACTCTCCCTAGGCCGACACGCAGGCTGTTCCTTCGTCTGACATCTTCAGGGACAGACAATCAATGGTGACAAGCTTAAGATCAAGGCTATCGTCACATCAATTCTTTTCCTCAACAGACATCTGAAATCCAGACTGAGGACCACGACAGCAATTCCACACATCTGCAACTGGGACACATCCTCCTACGCAGATGCTCTTAAATATCTGACAACATCATTTGAAGGGGAAGGAGGGAGCCGCACCCACACACGTGGCCTCTGAACGGCTTGGTCCATCACAGCGAGACCAGGGATGCAACATGCACTCAAGCCTGGACCACTTCCCCACACCCAGGCTCCTTGCCCTCAGGCCCGAGCTGTTCTTCTGGAGCGTCGAGACAAAACCACGGGTGCAGAGCAGTGTTTTCAGAGAAGCAGTAGGACGCATTGGTCAGTGCAAGAAGTATTCGCTCACAGAAAATAGAAGCGTAGGGACCCTTGGTGACCCGGTTCGACCCCCCTGCACGGATGTGGGAAGGAGGCAAAGAAACTCGCTCTAGAGCAGAGTTTCTCATCCTCGGGGCTGTTGACCTTCTGGGCTGGGTAATTCCTTCTGGGGGCAGCGGGGGCTGTCCTGCGCACAGTAGGTTGTGGAGCAGCATCCCTGGCCTCTCACTGCTAGATGCCAGCAGGAGCCCTTCCCCCAGCTGTGACAACCAAAAACGTCTCCAGGCATTGCCAAGCGTCCCTGGGGGGAGCACTGGGTAGCGGCTGACAGCGTCTGGTTCACCCACAAGGACTGACACTGTGGCTGCCCTGTGAGAGCGCCAGGATGCCCAGGGGACAAGCTGCTCCCCGAGCCTGCAGCCAGGAGGCCCCGCAGCCCGAAGCTTTGCCCCCTCACCCGCCTGCTCTACCTATTTCCGTTTCTTAAGCCCCTGGTGCCCGAGAAAACAGCTGCTCAGGCTGTCCTCTGTGCGGCCTATGAAAACTACAGGACGCTTCTCTACAAATCTTCAAGGTTTTCCCACATGCAACCTGGTAAGGAAGCGGACAGGTGACACGATCCACTCGCCTACCACTGAGAGGAGAAGGCTCCTGGGCACAGCCCCATCGCCTGCAGACCCAACACGGGGTTTTGTTTCTAAAGGGCCCTCAACAAACATCAGTTTAATACGAACCACTGACATTTTACAACTGCTGATTTTGGTAATGATATCACCACCCTCCCAATTACCTTGAATCTAAACCAGCACCGTCTTTGACTCCGATCCTTCCACATGCAAGCATCCATTGGAAAAAAAAAGAAAAAACTCAAAATCACTGTAGTGCTGTGGACTCTAACGATAATACTAAGTCCCAGTACCGCGGTGCTAGTCCGGGTGCTCACGCCTCCTGTCTTTGTCCCTCCTTGCGCCGTGCTGCTGCCAGAATCCTCTTACTGGAAAACAACCCCACCGGGTCCCCCCTTTGCCCGAAAGCCTTCAGCCCTGGGGCCTCGAGAACAAAGCCCCACCTCCCAGCATGGAGTGCCAGGTGCTCCCCAGTCTTGACCGCATCTTCTCGCCTTCCTTTCTGAGCACACCCTCCTCTCCTGACAAACAGCTGACCCGCCACTCACAGGTCACTGATGGGGAAAGCCAGCCTGTTCTGTATTGTCCCCTCCATGTAGAAAACAGGCTTAGCCTGGCCCCAAGTCTTCAGATTGCCATCCTATCTGTCTCTCAAATCTCTTCATGTTCCATCTCCACCAGGAAGTCGGCCCTCCTCTCCCAAGTTAGAGCTGGTTGCCCATTTCCGTGGTCCCCAGGACCGTGCCACCCCGTGAGTCAGCACAGATACCTGGCTCACAGTCCTCAGTGTGTCTCTACTCTCCTGCAAGGTCCTTAAGAGGCGTATGTGGCTTCCTTCCTCCCTCCCTCTCTCCTTCTCTCCTTCCCTTCCTTCTTTCCCCCATAGCATATCATAGGGACTCCAGACATGCTTACCAGATTTAATTTAAATCACTAAGTCAAACGCCGTTTCCCCGCTCCTTGGCTTTACTGCTATATCCTTTCCTGTGCATGACTTCCGAACCAGTAACAGAAAGAATGGCACAAGACCATTCACCTTCATGGCAAAGATTCACCCAATCCTCTCTATTACACACTGGAAGGGTTCTTTCTATTTCAGGGTCAATAGACAGTCACCAGACAGTGACAGGGAGCTTGCCATCCGTGAGGCAGGACACTCCTTCACCGGGCAACTCAAATGCTTGAATGGACATTCTTGTGTCAAATAGAAAACTTCTCCTTCCTTAAAATGCCTTCCGTCTGCAGCTATACAGCGTGAATGTAAGATAAGATGGGCCTTCCAATAGCTGGCGCCGATCATTATGGCTCCCCTAAGTTCTGTGCTTTCCACAGGAGCCACGTTCTAGCCCTTCCGCCAACTCACCTCCTCCATCCCACCCCAGCCTCCTCGCCATCCTCCGGCCGCCTTCTTGTCGGCCAAGCTCCTCTCCACAGGAGCCACACGGAACCTAACACTTAAGCGGAGCCTCATCCAAGACTTCACAAAGGACTTCAGATCTTCCAAGTCAATACTCCAGACTTGATTTATGGCCAAATAAGACCAAATCCACTTTATCAGCCACAAATCACACTGCTGGCATATGGCTAATGGTTAAACAAATTTTCAGATGTTTTAAAAATAGCCTCACATCAGCTCACCCCCAATCCATACGCAGGGACATTACTATAAACAGACAGGATTTGCAGGGTTCCCTGTTGCATCTTACTGTTGGTTTCTGACTCTTGAGTTAACGCACTCCACAGGTGAGCTTTTGCACAGGGTTTTTATCATCTCGAAATTCTCTAGTGGGATTCTGGATGTCCCATCCTATCTCGAGCGGAGACCCCACAAAGACCTGCAGCGTCTCTCCATGTGCTCGCTGTGCAAGCAGCGACCCCACCGGCTGGAAGGGCGTCTCGGGTGGGACGTGGTTTTCTCTGGTTTGTCTCGCAGAAACGTTCTAATTAGGTGAGCTAGTCTTACGACATGAATTAAGGCCAGCCAGGCTCCACAAACACAATGATTCAATTAGGGACCAACAGGACCTGACTTTCTAAGCAATAATCCAATTTTCGTTCCCACATGAATACGGTAAGCAGAGAACCACTGGACTATCGGGGTCCTGAGGAGGCAGCAAGGGTGCTTCGAACCCCGTTTTCGGGGAGGACATGGAATCCAGCATCTTCTCAGATGTGCAGAAGGTAAGAGGATGCAGGGGTGCTCTGTGAGGCTTTCCAACAGACACGCCACAAGTTAACAAACTCCCAGGTATGTGTCCACATGAGAAATATGAGAGGGGGAATCTTGACTCAGAATTTTTTTTTTTTTTTTGAGGAAGATTAGCCCTGAGTAACATCTGCTGCCAATCCTCCTCGTTTTGCTGAGGAAGACTGGCTCTGAGCTCACATCCAGGCACATCTTCCTCTACTTTATATGTGGAACGCCTACCACAGCATGGCTTGCCAAGCGGCGCCATGTCCACACCCAGGATCCGAACCGGCGAACCCCGGGCGACCAAAATGGAAAATGCACATTTAACCACTGCGCCACTGGGCCGGCCTCTAGAAATTTTAATATTAAGTGTTTTTTGTATCTTTGTGAATGAAGAATAATCAAAAACATATTTTAAAAACTTAAGACCTCCTTTAAAATTGGCTAAAAACTCTTAAAATTAATGGAACCATTAACATAACTGTTAAGTGCTCCATATGAGAACATATTTTGAGAACACTTTCATTTCATAATCTTTTCACTCTATTCCCTCATCTTTGGTAGTTCAGAACTGAGGGCCAAATAGAACACAAATTAATTAAAAACACAAAATTACACAATTTCATCTTTGCATTTTAAAAAACACAAATCAATTTTGGCATGTTTACAAACAAACGCACACTTCTACAATGGGTTCATTTTGAGTCTTCATCCTTTTGGGTAACCCTCAAAATGCTTTAGGCTCACAAGACAGACATGAGTCATCGATCTCTAGGGAAAAAAATTATCCTACCTTCTTTAATTATCCACATTTTAAAATAACATTTACTCCCCAAAATAAAGCTTATCAGTAGAAACACTTCAACGCAGTCTTATTTTAGGTCTAAATGGGTCGTAATTTCTGAGTGGTACGGAACAAAAATACCAACCATAAGCTTTTCTATAAGCTTACGGGAAAGAGCAACAGTCATTGTCTAGATTAGCATGTCGCTTAAAGATCGCTGTGTGATCTAAAATAATATTAGGGCCTAAGAAGGTCTAAACATTCTTGATTTTGTTCCAAGCACACGCCACGGCGACAGTAGCAAAAGGACGTGGTTCACTCACCCTCTCAGAAGTTTGAACAGCATGCAACCCAGGGAGAACCAGTCGGCACTGCTGTCATACGCCGTCCCCTTCTGGAGCACCTCGGGAGCCATGTACCCATGGGTGCCACTAGGGGGAAGAAAGCAGACAGGCGGTTACTGGAGGAAACGTTAACGGCTCATCAAGAGGTCGGGGCGTTCTTCATTCAATGGCAGCGACTGTGCACAAGGGAGCGGGGACGATGGCGCTTCCACCAGAACGACTCACGCAACGCCCAACGGGAAAACCACCTTTCTGTCTTAATTAGTACAGGAATTAATAGAAACAAATTGCCACACGAAATAAACATGAAACCCGCGAGGTCCTCAGGCTCGGAGGTGAAATATGAATCACATCAGTCCTTCTCCACCACGGCCACGAGGAGCCAAAGGTCTCCTGGGCGGTCGGGAGCTCTCACGGGAGATCTGTGGGGTTGGGGACAGTGAGCAGGCGACCACACCACCGTGTGATGGACCTTGAAGGGATGGGGACGTGCACTCCGGTGTGGCACCCCCCGCCCGCGCTGAGGACCAAGGAAGTAGCCCCCGGCCTACCCGGTCAGTGACAGTCCCCAAAGGAGTGAGGAAGAAGGGGGGGCACAAGCCGACAGGTACAAGATGGAGAAATTGTGTCAGGTTTTAAAAGCTGCCGACAGGTTCAAGGACTCAGCTGAGCAAACACGAAGACAATTTTCAGGGAGCAGAGACAAATCACTAGAGAGGACACCATTTTAGAAATACTCCACGCTGTCTGCAACCTGTCAGTCCCTTCCCGTTCCGACTGCCACCCCTCCTTAAGGATCTGGGCAGGCACCGTTCCATCTCGAAGAGCGAGAGGCGGCCCGCGGGGAAGTGACAAGACGCAGCCTGAAAGGGCCCCACACAGGCCCCCCCGGCCGCCCTGCATGCTCCCACGCTTCACTGAGAAAACGGGTGGCAACACCTCCGCCCCACAGGGCGGCCGCGGGGATTACACAGACGCGTTGGGTTTAGCAAAGTGTGGGCATCTAAAAACCCAACCCGTGCCAGGGATTTCAATCTCTATTCTTATTGCATTACAATCATTTTTAATTTCCTTATAGGAACAACGAGAATCTGCTCAGCAAAGCGATCCTCCATCATTAAAGATCCCGGATCAGCTCTGGGCCCGGCACCGTCTGCCTTAGAGTCCTACTCTGAACAAACAGTGAAGACAGGCGCTGGTCCAGGACTCAGAAAAGCTCCACCATCCAGAACCTAGAGCAGGAGGTCACGGAGCCATGCTGAGAGCACGGGCGACGTCCCTGAGGGCCAGGCGGCCAAACCACTTTCTGGGAAGGTTTAATTTCAGCGTTGCCGCGGAAAACCTCTGCGGTGACCTTTGAATCTGAGATTGTGGGGATCAAAACCCAATTGTGGAATGGGAAGATACGGACAAGGATAGTGACAACGGGTTCATGCAGATCAGACCTGTAAGCTGACACAGGACGCATGAGAGCAGAACACCGCGCGCCTGCCACTGTGGGGTTCTGCTTCTGCTCACACGGCAGCCACGAGCATGTCCTGACGTTTCCCCTGGAGATCTGCACCACGATTAATACGGAAACAGCACCTGAACGTCTGCAGACACGCGACGTGAGACGCGGCTCTGTGCTCTCCGATAAAGCAAGCAGGGACTCAAACTACATACAATGATCCGTTCAAGTCAATGCTTTTATTTTGAATTTTGTGGCTACTCCACAGTTAACTTTTAGTTTATGATAATTTGCTTCCATCAGTAAATGGACTCAAGTCAGGAACCTCACCCACACGCTGCTCTGTAGATGGGGCCGCACCGGGCGAGTGCCCGGATCACACCTACAGCTTTGAAAAGACCTGTGGAACCGGGTGAAATTCCGGCCAAAAATCTTTGGTACTAAGCAGATCACTTCAAAGCCTCGGGGAGTTTGCCCACATAGTGTAAGGAGCACGAGCTCTGGAGTCAGACAGAACTGGATTTTAATTCTAGCCCCACTATGTGCCAGGTAAGTGACCTTGTTCAAGTTACTTAATTTCTCTGAACCTCAGTTTCCATGCCACAAAAAGTAGATAATGATACCTATGACCTATGGGCTTTCTGTGACAATAATAAGATATTCAAAGCAGCTGGCCATGCGTGCCTGGGCGAGCAGTGGTCAGCTAATGACAGGACAAGGGCTGTGGCTGCTGGCACCGCTAGCCCACACACTGGGCCCCCCCTCCCCCCCCGGCCCTGACAGGTTCCTGGGCTGCCGGCTCAGGAGGGCAGCGATCCTCTGTCTTGGTCACCACTGCACAGTCACAGCGCCAGCCCCTGGCACACAGCCAACGTTAAATAAACACCTGCCGTGCGAATTAGCTGACAACACTCACGACTGTCACGTCAAGGAAACATCATGATCATCTCGTCTTTATGGGGAGAAGAACGAGGCTGGCACAGTGGGAGGGAGGGTTCAAACCCAGAGCTGCGGACTCGAAAGCCTCTGTTCTCGGCCACAGCACGCCTCCTTTCCTTAAAAAATGGGCATTTCATAGTGCGTTCATCCTTTTTAAGTAGTGGCCCCGCTCTCGTCATTTGAACATGGAAACCAACCTTCCCAACCTCATCCCCTCACAGACGCTGGTCAAACCCGGCACACCCCGCCCACCTCTCAGAGCCGACAAGGGAATCACAGAGAGAGGTGGGAGCGGCTCTGTAAGAAAACAAACAACCCCACACCCGAAAGTTAATTCCTTTACAAGACTAAGTCTTATGAGCTCTTGGATTCGTATTCAGTTGTGACTACACTAAATGGAAGAAATTAGCATACGAAATAGCTGTGGCATTAAAAATTCAAATGACTCTCTTAAAAAATGTCTAACGAACTCCCTAGGAGAAGCTTATACAAGCAGAGGTTCTGGCCTAATAACTGTAAAGTGCTGGCAAAATGCTAATGCTTTTATCACCATATCCCAGATTCTGTAGAAAGAACCGTGTTTACAGAGACGGCGCGATTCACTGTTAACATCTGATCAGGGCTCTAAAAGGCGGCTCTGCTTTAAGCAGCCCCTCGAAAAGGATTGAAATTCAGAACCGCTTGACTTCTGAGAAGCATCTGCCGCTTTTCTGCACGGCTGCGGGAAATGAGGCTCCTGGGAGATTTTTTAAGAGCATTCAACACGGAGAGGAACGTTAGCTCTCTGTTAAGCGTAATTTTAAAAGGTTCAGTGCTAAGAATGATAAATTTAAAAAGCAAAAATAAAGCAAAGGTCATCTGTTTTTCCGCAAGCTGCCCACCTGCCCACACTTTCCAACCAGATAAACTGATACCAAAGAAAGAGAAACGAAAGCCAGGACGCATCCTGTGCTGTTTCTGGAGAGGGCTGGGACAGCCACCTTAGAATCCTGCAGTCACTGTAACAACCCCGGCTTCAGGGAAGTCCTCAGGCCAGTGACAACGCGCGCTGATCAAGCTGGGCCATGGCCAGAGGTAGTTCAGGCTGAGGACAGGTCAGCTGCTGGCCGAGGGCTGCGGCGTCAGGAAGTTTCTTCCACACGGTCGTTTTAGAGGCCTGATGTAATACTCAAATCTAACAACATGACCTGCAAGCTTGAACTGCAAGTAGACGATTTGGTTTTTTAATTAAAAAAAGGCAGATTCCTAATTTCTCTTCAGAAAAATAGAAGCCACTCTGAAAAGGAAGGAAAAAGTAGATGGAGAGAGAAACTTGACCTCCGGGCCTTCCTTGGAGGGCTGCTTTCACAGCTTCCATGACACGTGGCCTTTTCCACTTCTCCTCATGACAACTTTCAGGCACTTATCATTACCTCTACTTTACAGAAGAAGAGACCGAGGGTCACAGAGGTAAGCTGACCAACTCAGGGTCACACAGCCAGTGTGAATTTGGGCGTCTTGCTGAGACCCCTCCTTCCCACAGACCACCCTGGCCCCTGAGCCCTTTGCTGTGGGTCTGTCCACACTTCCCCCAGACAGCAAGAGAAAGTGCCCCACCCTCGTGTCCTCCCACACCCCGGGACATGGGGTCTTCCCCCAACCAGGCATCATCACATATTGAAATCACCAATGGCAAGAAAAAGTTGGGGGAACACACGACCAGGTCGGGGTCTGAGTGAATAAACGAGTGGCCTCAGAGAAACGACAGCAAGCAGTCAATGCACTACTCACACGCTGGCGTGTGGCTTCTTTTTGGAAAAATCACAGGCCAGGCCGAGATCTGATATCCGCACGTGTCCGTGTTCGTCCAAGAGGATGTTTGCGGGCTAGAGAGAAAGAGAAGATGATCTTCAAGAGTTCCCAAAATGCCTGGTGGCTTCAAGAACTTCTAAAACGACAGGCACACGTATTTTACTGTTTCACCACAGTCTGTTCCTAAACACCAATGCTAGCTTATATTATCACACCCAGGGAGGGCGTGACACTGAGAATAGTGTTTTTCATGCTAATTTCAGCAGGAAAATGGTAATGACAGAAGCGAAGGATTCTACTCGTTCAACACTTCACCACAGTTGAAAGCTCGTCCTTCTCACGCCAAGAACAGCGATCTGGCCAGGACAGCGGCCTGTCCACAGAGCGGGTGAGGCCGCCAGCTTCTTGGCTTTGGTCAAGGACTTCGGAGAGGAAGGCCACCAAGCACAGAACAGAAAGAAATCTTGCGGGAATGTACAAACGCTGACCTAAGAGACCAAAAGTATTCCGCAGGGCCACACCAATCCCGATAAATGTCATTTCTGTTTGCTGGTACGTCACCAACCCAGGGCTCGACCAAATGACCAAATACAATTTTGACCGCAACTCTGATGAAATGTGTCCATTAAGATTAGATTTACTCAGCATAATCACGGCAAACAAAGCTCCTCTCTCTAACATACACTGAATTATAGTCATCTTAATGATATTTTTCTGCTGGAGATCAACTATTGTTTTCCTTGAAATAAAAATAATGCCATGCTATTATAAAAATGAGGCATGAATAATCATGAGTGACTAGAATTAAGTTTGAATAGAAATTAAGCCCGCTGCGCACTAAATAGCTTGGAAAACAAAAATACAGCATAAAGATGATTAGAAACCGGTTATAGATTTAAATTAAAATGTATTACAATAGCATTTCACGGGCCTTCAGCATGCATTTCACTCTTCTGCAAAAATCACATGAGGAAATAAAATGTCATGTGCCAAGCAGCGTCTAATTATTTCTAGTTCGATGAAAATACATTTTTTCCTCTTTATGTTCATATGGAACTAAGGGAATAATTCTTTAACCTTGAAGAAAGCTTCAAAATTTACAAACATTTTGTGAAAAAAATATTAGGCTCGAAAATAAAATATAATATTTTAGATTCTTAAAGGGGAACCTTAAAAAGCTAATGCAAAACATATTAGCTCCTTAGAGAAAGGAACGCAATCTGTACATTTCAGTTGGGACATTTCAGCTGGTTTCCTTGGGTTCATTCAAAAAGGAATCTGCGACAGGAGGCAAACACATGCTCCTACTGGGAAACTGCCACTCCTGTCATTGTTCTTCTCATTATTTACACATTTATGCATCTGCATGAGCATTTCTACATCCTGTCAGGGTCCCCTTTATCCCTCCCCCGTCTGCAGACCGCTGGCTGGATGAGTGACACCACTGATGCACTGAGCGAAGTCCTACCTCCCCCATTAACACAGAACCCGGGTCCCAGCACCAAGGTCTGGAAGGGAGGAACTCGGAATAGACTGAATGCATTTTCTCAATCCAGTGAGGTTTTCAAGAGAACGAGAACAGAAGCCCAAGCACAGCAGTCTCGGGCTACGAGCTGGATCTAAAAATCTAGCAGTGATTTTCAAAGCAGTCTCAAAACAGCATCAAGCTCTGAGAGTGGCGACTGGGGGAAGTTCTGCAGGCTGATCGGCAGCCCCGCCCCGCTGGATCAGCCTGGCCTCAGATGAGTTACGACCCAGCCACGTGATGTCTTGGTTCACCGCGGTCTAAGCCCCGGGTGAGACGCATGGTCTCTGCTCGTTCATCTTTGTACCTCTCCGGTTCTAACACAGAGCCATGGCCAAATCAGCTGCTTAGTGACCTTTAAGTGAATTACAATTAATTGTAAAATGGAAGACACCAAGAATGCCTACCCTGCTTTTCGTCAATTAACCCAGGAAAATGTCTGAGTTAGTGCATGAGCTGTACCAGGCACTGTAGCAGGCACTGAGGGACAGTGACGACTGGGGTGGACACGAGGTCCCAGAACAGAGTGTGCAGTCTGTAGGAGGCCCACAGACGAAGATGTCATCGGGGCTGAGATGAGGAAGATGACAGGATGCAACGAAAGAGAGACCACAACACGGACTGCACGGGTCCAGCAGACAGAGCGAGTGTGCGAACGGCCTCACCTTCAGATCCCTGTAGACGACAAACCGGTTGTGCATGTGCTCCAGCCCCAGGATGATCTCCGTGGCATAGAACCGCATCTCCTTCTCAGAAAAGACCCCGTGCTGTGAAAGGTGATAGTGCAAATCGCCCCCTGCAATCAGAGACGCCCGATTTAATGCAAAGCGTGTTCATTTAAAGGGAACAAAAACCGCTGTCCTCCTGAATAGTTAGGACGCGGCAAAAAAGGTCAACTGTGCTTCGGCTTTGTCTCTATGCCTCTCTCTGGTTTCTGCAGTTTGACAAGACACTGTAAAAATTATAGCGAAAACTTCAACATTGAGAAGACTGGACGTAGCAATGACCGGGATGATATACAACAAAGTGACCCGTCTCGGGCTGGCAGCGCGGCTCCCAGACGCACCATCCCAGGCTGCGCTGAGCTACTGTGCTCCGATTGCTTAAGTCCTGTCTACTAACCAAACCGACCTACGCAGTGATCTAGTGCGCGGCTCAGCGACTGGCTCTGTGGGCAATACACGAATAAATAAACAAACTGATTATATGGAGAGATATTCGATAACGCAAATACAGCTAAATTTTAACTGGTAAAATCCAGGAGGCAGGTATTTGTGAGTGCCCAGGAGTTCTTTCAATTTTGATATATGTTTGAAATTTTTCGTAAGAAAATGTCGGAAAATGTAAACAGTCAGGCAGCCTAAAGTTACAGAGACAGAAAATGCCACCAACAGGGTAAGGAAACATTTTATAAACTGTAAGGGAAAAGCTTCTATTGATCTATAAAAGTTAGTGTGTGTCCAACCTTACTGCCCTGGCTTTACAAGACTCCTCTCTTTCACAGGCATGCACTTCTGCGAACTACGACCAGAACAAGATGTAAAAGGTCTCCAGCATCCCAGAAGGGCCCTTGCCAGTTAGTACCTCGGCTCCCGGCCCCTGGTCAGCAAAGGGGACCCTACTCTCGCCTCTCCCACCGTCGATTAGTTCTGCCTGTTCTGACAGTCACGTCAGTCGGAACACACAGCCTAGATGCTGCCGTGTCTGATTCTTTCACTGTTGTGTCTGTGAAATTCCTTCATGTTAAATCAAGCGCTCAAAACACAATAAAACTTCAAATGAACTTCAAAAAAACCTAGGTATTCCATTTGTTGAACTGTATGCCTCTTTATTTTAGTTCTTGTTACTAAAAACCCTTTGAACACATACCATGCTGCTTTCTAGTATTAGAAACTACTTTTCTAGCTATAAAGTTTTCGGCACTCTCGGGGTCACTATGCCTAGTTCAAAAGTTCAACTTATAGTACTGCAGGTTTTGAAGGGGCAAGAGATTGGGCAAAAATCTGCACTGGCCCAAAGTCAGTCCTTCCAAGTTGGTTTTTAAATACATTTCTGTCTTTGGCCTTTATTATGACGATGCATTTCATTCCTAAAAGTTGGGGGGTCAGGAAACAAGCTTATTAAAGATCTAGGCCAGCTGTATTCCAGAAAATTGAGCTTCACTATAAGTGTTTTATGAAAATCTTTTCTAGAAAATGCAACTTCCTGGGGAGAGATGAGGAAGGCCAGAGGGAAACTGCAGTCAATATTTTTAAACGAATTTTAACTGAAAATGGAAGAGTCAAAGGTTTCCTTAAACTTCAGGGGGAACCTCATTATCTGAAAGAGCCGAAGTGCCAGTGTGCCTAAATTAACGCATGCTGAGCTTTCACAGCGTGGCGACGTGTGTGAGTGTCTCCAGACTTCCCGAGTGTGGCTTACCGTTCATCAGATCCAGGATGAAGCAGAGTTTATCCGGAGTGTGGAAGGCGTAGGTCATACAGACGATGAAAGGACAATCCTAGAGTGAAGAAAACAAGTGCATAAGAAAAGCAAAAGCTGTCGTGGAAAGCGTATCTGCCACCAAACACCATGTGTAGATTTTTCCCCACACCACTGCCCTACCCATCGAGTACAGACACCCACGTGGTAACTTTAACAGCCGCAGTAAAACGCATCTGGTTACTGATAAAATAAACAGAGACATAACAGCACCAATTGGAGCAAACTCGAAGGTTCTCTCTCACTCGGATTCAATCTTGACTCTTCTATCTACATCTTCCAAAAACTCAGATTTTACGGGAAAATATTACTGCCTCTTTTTGCTGGTCTACGTTTTGGTTCTGGCTAGTCAAATATCCATTTCAATCTCTGATTCTGAAGTTGGAAAAACCATACCACGGGAGGAAAAATGTCATCTGTATTATCGTCTTGAAAACATTCAGAATAAACACGGAATTAAATTAGCTTCCGAAAGTGGAAAAAAATACCAGGGTCAGGAACTGAATAACTCAATTGCAAAGATGTCAGTTTTCCCCAAATTAATCTATAGTTTACATGCAATGGTAATTAAAATGAAAATTTACAAGCAGATTCTAAAATTTATATGGAAATGTAAGCAGCCAAGAAAAGTTCAGATATTCTTGAAGAAAAACAAACCTGGGAAATTTATAGTGCAAGAAATGGACTTATTATAAAACAAAAGTAATTCAGACAGTGTGGTCTTAGCCCAAGGACAGACAATTAGGCCTAAGGAACAGAACAGAGCATCCTGAAAGAGACCCGCACATAAAGGGTCGTTTGATGTGTGATAAAGTGACACAACAGGGCAGGGGGAAAGGACGACCTTTCCAATCAGCAATGCTGGAGCAGCGGGATATCTGTACAGTAAATATGAACACTGACCCCTACTTCACACCACACGCTGAAATCAACTCCAGGTAGATACTGATCTAAATGAGCAACGTAAAGCAAGAAAACTTCTGGAAGAAGAAAAAAAAGAACATCTCCATGATCTTAGGGTAAGTAAAGATTTCTTAAATGTGCCACAAAAAGCACTAACCATAAAAACATTGATAAACTAGACTAAAATAAAACAAAAAACTTCCGTTCATCACATGACACCATTAAGAGGGTGAAAAGACAAGCCACAGAATGGAAGAAGATATTTACAATCCATAAACACACAAAGGACTCATATCTAGAATATATAAAGAACTCTTACAAATCAATAAAGAAAAAGGCAAACAACCCAACAGAAAAACAGCAAAAATAATAATAATAAAAAGTAGGCACCTTACATAACAGGATACTCTAGGGCGGGCAAGCCCATATGAACAGATGCTCAACCTCAGCTGTCCCCAAGGAAATGCAAATTAAAATCACAACGGGCTGTCACTAAAACCCAAGAGAATAGCTAAAACTTAAAAAACCGACAATATCAAGTGTTGGAAAGATAGGGAGTAAATGAAACTTTCATATGCGGCTGCTAGGAGTGTCCAACGGTACCACCAGTTTTGAAAGCTGTTTGGTGGTATCTCCTAAAGCTGAGCGCCACCTGCAAACCCCACGACCCAGAGATTCCACTCAGGGTACCCACCTCACAGCAGTGTGTACTGACATGCACCAGAGGAACTGCTCGAGAATGTTCCTCGTAGCACTATTCGAAACAGCCCAAACCAGGAGACAGCCCCAGTGTCCACCAACAGTGGGATGGATACATAAATTGTGGCCTCTTTATGCAATGGAATATTCTAGAGCAGGGCAGCAAACCTTGTAGGAAGGGCCAAACAAGTAAATATTTCAGGCTTCGCAGGCCCCATACAGCCTCTGTCATATATTCTTCTTTTCTTTACAATCCTTTGAAAACATAAAAATCATCCTTCGTTCATGGACTGTACCAAAAAAGACCACAAGCCAGACTTGGTCCGCGGGCCACTCCTAACTTGCTGTCCCCTGTATTTAGTCACAGAATGCACTAGAGTTTTGGTGGTGAACACGAAGTAGTCTACACAGAAGCCGAAATACAATGTTGTACACCTGAAATGGATAGAACATTACAAACCAAGGTGACCTCAGTTAAAAAAAAGACAGAAGGCACTATTGCCGTGTGCAACAACACAGACGAACCTCACAAGGAAGGCTGAGTGAGAAGCCAGACACAAAAGAGAACGCTTACACGAAGTTCAAACCCAGGCTGAGCTAAATTAACGGTGCTAGGAACCTGGGTGGTAGTTAGCTCGGGCGTGGGGCGGGGCGAGTGACGGAAGGGGTAGGCTTCTGGAACACCGGTAACTTTCCATCTCTCGATCTGGTGCTGGAGACACACGCACGTGTTCCCTTGTGGAAATCCATCGTGCTCTGCCAGAACTACCAGGCCTATTTAGATTCTTTCTATACAGCGAACACTTGCCACTCCACCGATTCAACTAAAAAATGGCATAAAATATCTATATCCACTTTCTCAACAGAAACAAAGAATTACTAACTTCCACAGAAAAGATTCAAGTTTCAACAGAATAATCTATTAACAGAACTGGCATTGTTCAATGGTCTGTATTAACGGCCTACAGATAAATTGGAGCTAACATATTCCTATACGCTAAAGATTCATGAACTTGAATTCAATTTCCATAAATCTTCTGGAGGAAATTGCTCCAGAATGAACTACAAAATTCATTTTGCGGTTACCTGGTTTTCCTTAGAGTTCTGTTGAGATGGTGTTCATTTTTACTGATTTCAAGATTTATTTTGCTTGAAAATAAGTGAAACAAGGGTGCTATCCCTTTTCTTTTAAAAGCCCTGTGGCCTTCCTGGGCACCATCCCACTGGGAACCCACCTGTTTCACCAGAAGTTTCTAAAAGCCCGCTGCAGGCACTCATTCTGCTCCTTCCTGAATGGGGTTCCCCACAAATCTGGTTCCTGATCTGATAGCAAACTGACCTAGAGAGAAGCGGGTGGACCCAGAACTTAGCACAGCCGGGGTCTTTCCCAGCTTGAGAGGGCACCACACTCACATCTCCACGGGGACAAGCAGACCCCGCCAAGGGGGATTTCCACACACGATGGTATACAATCCTTCTAACAACAGCCCTGAGAGAATGGCAAAAGAGTCAAGTATTCTTAAGACATGATGTTACTGGATGGGACGTGAATTGTAAATTGGGAATCATAGGCCACCTGAGTAAGACGGGCTCTCACAAAAAAAAAAAAAAAAAATCACTTGGTCGGACTTCTTAAAGACAAGGAAACTAAGCCCCCCAAAAGGGAAATGACTTGGTTGAGGTCACAAAGAAATGTGGCAGCCAGCCAAGAGTCAACCCCCAGGTCCCCTGGCCTCTCCAGGGTTCTCTGATGCGAGGCTACTTATGAAGGCCAGGTTTCCATGGCGACAGAAAATACAAGCTCGGTTAGAGGGCTAGGATTCAGTTCCCTCTACAGAACCCAAGGACTGCAATCTGCATGGCTCAGGCGCTGAGCAGACACTCTCCTGGGTCTCCTGTGGGGTCCGAGTCGCAAAGGACTGGATGGCGACCAACGTGGAAAAAGGGGCAGCAATGTAATGCCGGGGTTGATACAGTTCCCAAGATAATGCTGGTGAAGACGCTCTGCCTTCGTTAAAAATTAAAGGTCACCGAGAACTGGCAGCTTTTCAGAGGCAAACCCTCAGCCAGGAACTCTCTTCTTTGATTTCCTACCGGCAGGGAGCAAAACAGCTTGCATCCTGCAGGAACTCTGTAGAAAACTGTGATAAAATGGACGATGAAGCCGCTCCTGCAGAAAATTTCCCCACACCGCGGTGCAAGGAGTCTTTTCAAACTCATCATGCTGTCTTCCTCTTCAACACTCTTTGCTTCCAATGGCTCTAAGATTCTTAACAATCCTCAATACGGGCCTAGAAGGCTCTTCACGGTCTGCTCTGGACTCCGTCTTCATCTTGTGCTACTCGCCCCATCCCTTCAGGTCCAGCTACGCTGCCTCCCGTGAGGTCCTCAAACACTCCTCTGACTTCAGAGCAGCACCCTCGACGCCGTCTCCACCGGTTAAACGCCTTCCGAGCTGGGGGTACCTGTCCCTCACAGCCCCAGCCACGTGTTCCAGTTGTGCACACATTTCTGAGCTTATCTGCATACTACCACCTTCTCGCTTTCTAGGCGGCTCTAGAACAGCAAGGGCCGAAGTCGAGCTCTGGGAGCCCCCACCTCGTGGCAGAGCGCCTGGCACCACCCAGACCCTCAAATACGGCTCAAGGACCAAGCGAGTCACCTCTGATGAACAGGAAGTGACTTGTTTCAGGAACGTGCTGCCTGCCCTTCCAGCTATGGACATTCTCTACCTGGTTCTCAAACACGCAGATGCCCTTTTTTCTAGCCAAGAATTACAGAGTAAGACGGGGGCAGTAGTTCCTGCTGTCTCTGGGGGAGGAGGGGTCGGAATGCTCAGTTTGAGATTGACAGAAAAACAGACCTTCCAGTAAAAAGAAAGCTGCGACGAGCGGCTGCAGTCCAGGCTCGCGCCATCCCCCAGGAGAGCGTGTTGACACGGGCTGACCGACCGTCTAACCAAATGCGGCAATTTTAGACTCAAGATCACCAAAAACCTCGAAACAGTGGCCTTTGATTAGCAAAACAATCTCCAAATAACTTTCCTACAACTCTTTTGCTTAAATTATGTATTTAGAAGTGACAAAATACTAAATAGTTTTGGCGTTTGAATAAAAAATATAAACAATTCTTTAGAATTAGTTCCAACCAGTAGGCCAATATAACCCCAATTTTTTCTTTGTCTTCATTCCCTTAGGGGCAAACCAGTGAGAATCTATACAACTACTCGACCACATTCTCCCTCACTTGAATACAACAAAAAAATGCTACATGAAAATTGTACGTATACTTTCCCAAAACCCAACATTTTTTTCCATAGGCTTTCTCGAGAAGAAAGACTAGGGTTTTGAGATAACTCATTAAAAATTAATATCTTAATAACCACCTACAATATGCAGTATGCACACATCCACATCTGAAATTTAAGACGAAGACGTTGCCAATGGAAACGAGAAGCCACTGCCATTCACACCGAGTCCAACACAAGGAGCAGGCTGCTCAGTTGCCATTGCAGCCAGCTAAAACCTTGGTCACACACACACAGGACAACTCTTATTTGAAATGCTTCACGTCCACAGGTTGGGAGGCAGACGCACATATTAGAAATTATTTATAGCGATGGCATTTTCATTTGTTATTGTTGAGCTAAATTATGATATTCTTTTGCTTCCACAGCAGATAGCCTTTCCAGAACCACTTAAAACTAACACCAGAATAATATAAACTACAATACAATAAATCGACGCGATAAAAACACGGAGCCCATAAAATGATGACGGGAGAGGAACAGTGGGGTGCCAGGAGTCCAGAGACGCTGGGCAAGGAAATGAGCCTCCTGGGTCTCAGGTTCCTCGCTTACTAGAGGAAAGGGGTTCTTGGATTCACCATGAAAATTTGATTTGTTCAAATCCTTTGGGTGAAGATGACCTTATTTAGCACCCAGCCAGGATACGCAGAGGGCCCCCCGTGTCTCACCGTGTACAAACCCTCCTGGCTCAGTGTTTAACAGAAAACTCTCATGTGAGCTACACAGCATGCGACTGGCCACTCCATGTTCACTTCACGCCTTTCTTTCTAGATCCCAACTCCCCAGCCTCCTCGGAACACTGGATGGAAACAACCTGCGGGTGCACACAGGCGTGCCCAGGTCTCTGGGACACTGGGTTTTCCTGGATGTGTCCTTATGTGTACACTGGCGACGGTACAAATAAATCAGAGCCAAGCTTTGGGTCCTGGGGAACACCATTAACAGAAAAAGACATCAGAATGGGAAGCTGTTTGTCAAGTAAAGAAGACACAAAGTCAATGTTTACACGTGTGCTGAGCTAAAAATGAGAGCTGGACACGCAAACAAAACGTCCAACAGGTAGAAACACTGCTAGAAACGGACAGGGCCAAAGTCCACCGCAGGTCACAGCGGCCAAGTGCTGAGAAGATAAAGTCACCTTCAAAGGACACACAGACTGGGGGCAACCCCAAAGGGACAACTCAGATTTGACTGGCCCACGTCGCTTCCTCTCCATTTATGAATGACAACAGCCACTTTTCTCTTCCTTTTTCTTCTCTGGGTTTCCTTCTCGGTCGATAACAGCCGATTCTTAATTATACTCAAGTGATTCTTTTCTTGTTGCTGTGATTATTTCCTGCCATCTCTGCAACCACACTTGCAAAGAAGGCAGGCATAAACAGGCAGTAAAGGGAGAAGTCGTGGGCGTGCGTAACGATGTCTAACTCCCAAATGAAACAGAGATAATATCTGAATTATACACTTCTCATATTAACTTAGAGATGCTGCTGCCTGCATTCTATCCATTCTAACCTACCCAAGAATTGGTTAGCCCCATAAGTCGCCAGAAAAAAAAAAAGCCTGCATTTTTAATAAATTGTTCTAAAACAAATAAATACAGAAAAGAAAAGCAATGCTCAAAATTGAATACTTACTCCTGTACTCACGAGAGACAACATAATCCTTTCATTTAAGGCTAATGTTTCTCCTTGTTTCATCTTGATCCTCTTCTTATCTAAGCATTTCATAGCATACCTAGAAACATACATATTATTGAAAAATCCACACCAAAAATATATCTATGCTGATTTAAGTAATACACATCATACTGGAGAAAATTTCTCAAGATTGGACAGCATTTTAAAAAAGCAAAATGGCACCCAAGTGCCATGCAAAAAACTTTTTTTTTTTTTTCACTTCGCATGTATCAAGAAAAAAATCAGGGGCCGCAGTGGTTAAGTTCGCAGGTTCTGCTATGGTGGTCCAGGGTTCGCCGGTTCAGACCCCGGGTGCAGACATGGCACCGCTTGGCAAGCCATGCTGTGGTAAGCGTCCCACATATAAAGTAGAGGAAGATGGGCATGGATGTTAGCTCAGGGTCAGTCTTCCTCAGCAAAAAGAGGAGGATTGGCAGTAGTTAACTCAGGGCTAATCTTCCTCAAAAAAAAAAAAAGATTTTATAAGATTGCAGAGCGTGAGACTCTAAAACATCGGCGATCAATAAAAGGGGAAGGGAAAAACGTGTTCAAAAGAGCATGTTCTAAAATGCTATTTAATGGGTTTGTTTTTAATCTTGATACTTGTATTTCAAATAATAAAAAGAATCAATAAATTTTTATATTAAAGTTAGTTGCGAAGAAACAGTTGGCAACTTAAGAAATTTTGAAAACTTGGGACAAATTAATATGAAGGAAATACAGACGTTATTTTGGCATGCTCCGTAATCACAGGTTAAAGAGAGCAGGCTGTTCCACATGACAACAGAAAGCTGAAAGGAAGATTTTTACAAGGGTTGCAGGGTCTTGAAAATTCTGTGCATGTGTAAAATTCTGTGTATAAATTCCCACTGACAGACTACTTCTTCAGGCCCTGGGATACCACAAAGACAGCTGTCCGGCTGAGGTAGAACACAGAACATCCACTTATTTCTAACTGCTCATAACTCAGAATGTCCTGACTTACAGTAAAACAGAGACAGATGTTCAAATTTGATGTTTTCATCCACTCCTCCAGGAGTTCTTTATAAAATATTCGTTGACGAGTCATTGATTTGCTCAATTATGGGATCAAATATGGAGAACACGGGGAGTGACGGGTTTTTTAAGTATTTACTTTTTATGATACAGAATTTTCAAAATGCTTCATACTGCTTCTGTCACCACCCTCCACCAGGATGGGGATTAATAAAACCTTTAAGCCGCAGCCCAGCGCATACGGCTCACCCAGGCCCTGAGCCCTGAGAAAGCACGATGCCTGGACCAGGCTCCCCAGAGCAGGTGGCCGTCGGGTCCCTGACGGGCTCAGGGCCAGCGCGCAGGGAACCAGGAGCCTGGAGACTCGGGGGGACACACTCAGGGACTCACAGGAGTGGGGCTTGGCCACTTTCTAGCTGAGTGCTGCTAAGTGTCTACCCTTAATCTATGAAATAAAAGACTATTTACCAAACGCTGGCTGTTGTTGAGAGTTAAGCGAAATAACAGTCGCTATTTGAAGAGACAACTTGATATTATTCGCCTCTACCACAGCATGTGTCAGATTAGACATCATAAACACCTTGACAAGCGGCAACGTGGAGTAAAACATAAACAAATTCAGTGAAGAGTAACAAGTGATGGGTAAAGCGTGTCATTTAGGATCAGAAAGTCTACTGTGCAAGTAAAGAACAGGGATGAATGTTTCCAGAAGCGACTGTTTGCTAATACTGTGGGATAGGCAGCGTTCTGAATGCTTTAGGGGGTATTATTTCTACAAAGTAGGTGTTTTAATTATTCGTAGTTTATAGGCTAGGATACAGAGGCTCCCAGGGGGCTCAAACTCAAGCCAGAGAGCGTGGAAGCTGCCTCCGACCTAGCCGGATGGCGCCAGGCCCGCCACTCTGGGTCACCAGGTTTTCCTGTCTCTGCACGACACCAGACTGCAGACACCTGGGGGCCAGGCATCGGGTTCGCCCTCCATGGGGTCCCCAAGCAGGAAGGAAGCAATGGGCAGAAATTAGCAAAGGTAAATTTCAGCCCCCAAATAATAAAAAGCATGCCAGCTGTGGGAGCCATCTGAAAATGGAAAGGCAAGGCCGTCATTGCCCACTCCCGGGAGGGAGCCAAGCCGAGGCTGAGTGACAGCCTGTGGGTGACGCTGGGGCAGCAGGGGGAGTTGGGCGCTGAGTTCAGGGACCTCCGTCACTCCTTACGCTGACTCAACGATCTATAAACGAAGCTTCACAGACTATCCACCTTGCCATTGTCCTAACACGGCTGTCGCCTGGTTAAACTTGTAGTTCTGTTCTATTCTCTTTTGCTTTCAAAAATATGTTCACTTAAACTGCTTCTATATTAAAAAAAATTTTCCTCCCTCACTTAAGAACTCCATCACTCATCTTCCAGGAGACCTCACATCTGGCTCACGGCACTTCATTGCCTCGTACCAACTTCCCATAAGACAAACGACAGAGTAGAGTGACAGAGCCCCATGATCATGATCCTCGCAGCAGGGCGTCCTGCTCACCGGCACCCACCCGAGCTACTCATCGATGGGACCGACGTCTCCTGGAATGTTACATCACCCAAAACCGCATACGTTAATCAGAAGTGGGTCATTATTTAGAAGAGAATGTCTCTCTTCTATAAAGCAGAGAATTCTTTGCCTTATGACCCAGAGACCCCTTCCTGGTCACCTCTGGGTGCCTGGCTCCGCCCATGGCCTGAACCACCGTGTGCTCGTGATACCTGGTTACCGGGTGACTCCCCATTTGGCCCTAAGAGGCAGAGGTCTCAGCTTACTTTTCTCATTTACTATGCTTAACAAAATAGAGTCTATTTTCTTCTGGGGTAAATTACAGAAGCCAGATCGTGGGATTCCATATACTTATGTAGGCATTTTCTTTGGACACAAGCGTAAAATTCCAGTATTCCCAGCAAAATATATGAGCATAAAAGCTTACATTTTTCCAGTGTCTGCTTTCCTGCAGCCATACACTTCACCAAATCCTCCTCGTCCGATGATCCTATGGACGCTGAAATCATTCATGGTCAACTGCGAAGTGGAAATACAAAACAGAAACGTAAAACTGAATAAATATTAGGCGGTTGTTTTCATGCAAAACATACATAGTTGTTAAAATGGCAATTCTGACGTAGGGATCTGCCCCTTCCAAGAGTGATTCCTCGAACTGAGAGATGAGACGCACAAGGCGGCAAGACTTTCTAGAACCTTCTTCTGCTCCACTCTCAAAATGCACAAAACAGAGGCAAGTGGGAAGATGACAGAGTGGGAGTCAAGTGTGACTGTTTTTTCAGTCTCATAAATCTTAGATGACAAGACACATACCTTGAATATAAGTGAGCGTGAAATTTCTAGTCAAAATGAAAAGCGACCTTAGCTAGCCTGAAGCCAAAAGTCTGGGAAGGGTCCAGCAATTCCAGGAACCGTCACGGTCGAAGACAAGTGTACGTCAAGGGCTTCTGTGTTTTCATAACAGTGGGCCATACGATGAGTGAACGCAACGGATGCTGGCCACGTGAATTTTTTATCGATAACATCAGTGAACAGAGAGGACTCGTGCTGGGCATGTGAGCATGAACAAGACTAAGTGCGAGCAAAGTACATACAGAGGCTTTATTCATAAGCGTTTTCCTTTTGTCAGTAGCCTCTCAGTTATGTCCTGCTCCATAAGCGGTTTTAATAGCACTTGATGGAACAGAGGAGACAGCGCGTCCTACATTCATGGTAAGAGGCCGTCGGACAACAGCAAATGCCTCCTCGTTTACGTATCCTGGCAAGTTAAGGGTCAGATTCTTGAAGGGTTCCCCAACAACCCAAACATCACAGCCGCGGCCCAGGTGGAGCGTTTCACCCAAAAACTTCATGTTTGATGCTCAGAGGACATGGAGACATGAGGACACCAGGTGTGAAGGAGCATAAGCATAACAAAAATCCACAGCAGACATAAGGGATTTTTAAAAAATGTGTCACTGCCTCTTGCTTCTAAATCCTGCCAGGAAATGTGATAGAAGAGGAAAGGTGAAAAAAAAGAAAGAAAGAAAACCTCTTCTTCCAACAGTACCATTCAAGTAAAAACCTCAAAAAAAAAAAAAAAAAAACTCCAGTTGATTATTTCTTTTTCCCAATTGCAAACCTTTGTGAAGGGAGAACATGAAGAAGGGAAGAGAGGCCATACAATGAAAAGTGCGTCCTGACAGTGACGTAGGTGATGGCCTGGAATTACAGAGAGGAAAAGCTAAAAGAAGAGGAAATGCCAAGAAAACACACGTGAAAAAGCAGCCTGTGTTTGACGGTTGCTTTGAACATGCTCAAAACAACAAAAAAAGAAGATGAAACTTGGATTTAGGAGAAGACGTCATCATTTTTATTATGTGACTACATTTAATAAGAAGAAAAGGAAAAGGGACGTTAGCAGGATGGCGAAAGAAAAGAGCATACGGGAATTACTTTCTGTAGACTTGCATATTTACTACTATTTCCGTTAAAGGGTCAATGACTGCTTAAAATAGCCTTTCTTAAATAAATAAACACATTCTTGTATATGAATATGAATAAAAGAGAATACAAACGCCAACGTTTACAATAGGGTACGGGAGGATGAATTGTTCCTACATAAAGCTGTAAGAACGACATCTGGCAGTGTATTGCCCATGGGAGTTTGTTCCAGAACGAAATACTTTCTCACGAAGTTAAGCCAGAGGAAGTTTTTACTTAAAAAAAAAAAAACAAAGAAAAAGATGATACTCACATGGATATTTAATTCTACGTTTTTCCACTGACAAAATCTAGTGAACTTGTCACTAAAAGAGAATATACATAATTACCAAAAAGTTAAATATCAAATTAACTGGATTTAAAGAACAACGTTACCAGATAAACTAGAATTGTACCATTTTGTTGCTTCTCAAACAGAGCAAGTTTTCTTAAACATTTTTTCATAAACTCAAAGGCCTGAGCTTTCTCTTTTAATTGCCATTTTGCTATGGTGACATCTTTATCACACCAGCGGTGTCCCAGAGAAGGATAACATGAGCCACCCAGGTCATTTAACTTTGATAATGTATTTTATGCAACCCAACATACCAAAAAATTATCATTTCAAACAGTAATCGATAAAATTATTAGTGAGATAGTCTATATCCTTGTTTTTATATGACATCTTTGAAACTCAGTGTGTATCCTGCACTTATAGTCCATCTTAAGTCAGACTACGCATATTTCAAATTCTCAGCAGCCACATGTGGCTAGTGGCTACCACACCGGACAGCGTAGCTCTAAATGACAAAAACCCATGTTTATAAATAATTATAAGAGTAGCGAGCACTCAGATGGTGCCTCGCATGTGCCAGGCCGTGCTCATGACTCCCGCCATCGACTCGAGACCAGACATGGGGATGACCCCCCTTTACAGCTGAGAAGACCGAGGTGGGCTCAAGGTCACACAGTGAGAGAATGGTGGAGCCCGACCAAACCCAGACCAAGTGCTGCCTCTCCAAGATACACACAGTGTAGGGAGCAGCCCTGAGACCAGAACCGGAAGAGCAGGAAGTCACACGGCACGGACGTGCTCCCGCAACCCACTCAACTGCTGGATGAGTGACTTTTCATCCATGAAGTAAGAAAAGTATCTATGCCATCTCTGCTTAATAAAGATGCTATTTTGATTACTTTTCTTATTAATGAGCACCATATTTATACGGTGTTTGTTTTTAAAATTTTCAAAAGAAATGTTTTCTAGATTGAATACTCCGTAAAAGCAAGGAACATTCAGGGGCCAGCCCGGTGGCACAGCGGTTAAGTGCGCACATTCTGCTTCGGCGGCCCAGGGTTCGCTGGTTCGGATCCCAGGTGCGGACATGGCACTGCTTGGCAAGCCATGCTATGGTAGGCGTCCCATATATAAAGTAGAGGAAGATGGGCATGGATGTTAGTTCAGGGCCAGTCTTCCTCAGCAAAAAGAGGAGGATTGGCGGCAGGTGTTAGCTCAGGGCTAATCTTCCTCAAATAAAAGCAAGGAACAATTTTTGTGATGGTTGGCCATATAGATAGAGTATTCAGGGTTCTTAGAATGAATGAATGAATGAATGAAAGAAGAAGAAAGAAGAAAAGGAGGGAGAGAGGAAGGAAGGCAAGAAGGGAGGGAAGGAATTTTAATGAAATGCAACTTAGTGGTGTTATCAGCACTATAAGAGAATGCCCAGGACATCCACATACCCAATTCCCTGGAGGTTTCATTTAACATGCCGCCTTCTAAACATCTTTCAAAAATATATCTGAGGCTAATAATTAAATCGAAAATCAAAAGCAGAAGAATTCTTTGTAATTACATAGCGTCTTTTCTCAGTGAATCTAAAAGGACTTTTAGAAAGCACGTCCTCGATCCTCCTGACACTTCCATGAGGTTGGTAAAATTAAACTATATTTTGAGAGTTTCTGAGAGTTGTTTCAAACAGTTTGTTGTTTTAAAAAAGATTGGCCCTGAGCTAACATCGATGGCCAACCATTTCTTTTCTTCTTCTTCTCCCCAAAGCCCCCCCAGTACATAGTTGTACATCCTAGTTGTGGTCTTTCTAGTTCTTCTATGTGGCACGCTGCCTCAGCATGGCCCGATGAGCGGCGCCATGTCTGTGCCCAGGATCTGAACTGGAGAAACCCTGGGCCGGCAAAGCAGAGTGCACGAACTTAACCACTCGGCCACGGGGCCGGCCCCTCAAACAGCTTTTAAAGCAGGGTGAGTGCACAAGACACAACCACATTGGGGTGTACTCAGCGTTTGTGAATCCATGACGGTCACTGTTAGCACAGCCGAGTTAACTGATACAGGCACCGTCAAAAGTTAGCGTAAGGGAAGCCATCTTATAGGAGAAAGTCATGTTGGACTATGAAAAACCCTGACTCACCAGCCCCTTTGAACCTTTGCTTTAGTTTGCCTGGATAATTCAGGGCCTGTCTCCAGGGTGGAGGATGGGCAGGCTCTGTCCATTTTACAGCCCCTCCCAGCTGCGATAAGATGGTAACTTTGTTCTGAGTTCCCTAGAAATGCGATGGCCTCTGGACAGAGATTCCACGCTGATACCCATGACAACAGAAAGCTCTGATGTGGCAACTCCCAGTCTGACACACCAGGGGGGCTAGCCTTCCTAATGCCCTCCCTGACAACCCATTGGCCTATATAACTGCTTCAAGATTCTGTGCCCCTCTTAAGAAAGTGCTTTCAGACATTAGTCAGCCACCTTCCCTCTTGCTAGCAAGCTGTAATAAAAACCCTTTCTCTCCCACCACTTTGCCTCTTGTCCACTGGCGCCTCTTGCGGAGGGCAGACGACCCCGCTTGGGCGGTAACAATACTTTGAAATTCACTTGCTTGTTGGACTAACCCATGCTCTCTTTTCTCACGGATGCAGGGGTTCAGAGCTGGAGACAGTGGGTGGTGATCTGGCACCTTTTATAAACTTTCGAACTAGCTGTGGAGGGCTAACAACCGGGGAAAGAGAAGGGCCCTGTTGGCCAAGAGAAGAGTCAAGGAGAACCAGCTCTCAAGCCACACCCTGCTCCAGGAAGACACCCCCTACCAAAAAAAAGAACATCCTCACACAGATATTTTGCCCCTTCAGTGTGGGTTTACTGTAACAAGTTCTCCTCTAGCAAGTACAGATGGTCCCCGGGTGTCCAGGCTCAGTCACGCGTCCATGGGGCTTCCTCAAGCCCCATGCCTAGTCAGCACCTAGTCACCGGAATGGGCACTTCTTAAAAGAAGAGGACCAGCGGCTGAGAAGAGAACAGAGCCTTGGCAACAAAGGGCTCAGCCAGCCAGAGCCCTTGCACACGACTTGGGAAGATGCAGAAAGGACTGGGGTGCAGTGAGGGTGGGGTGGATAAGCGTTTTTAACTCTGAGCCCTACCTCCGGCTCCAGACTGTTAAGCAGCTGAAGTTCACTCCCTGACGGAGGACCACAGGCTCATCCAGAAGACGGAAAGCTTCCCCTCCCGATCCAGCCGTGCTGCAACTGGTCCCCTGCTCGGCTCAGGAGAGGGGAGAGACGAGCCCCTGCGCGGCGGGCAGCTGCCGCTTCATGAGCAGACAGCAGGGCAGTGGCCCAGGCGAGGGTGGAGGCTGCGAGTTCCTATTTATGGGGTGCGTGTGCTTTTCAAAGCTGGGACTCGAAATTCTTGGATAATGGATTTTTTTTCATTCTAATTTGAGAATGTATTAACACAAAAAGAACCCAAAGGGGGATAAAAATGAACAAGTTGACTTTAAAAATAATTCATTGACATAAAGCGGTAACTGTCGCAGGAAATCCAGTGTGCGTGCAGCCAGCTTCCCTGGCGTTTCCTGTGACAGTAACAGCGAATGGCTGATTCAGTGTGAACGCAGGTTTGCCTGGTGGTGAGCAAAACACACAGCAAAGAGTTGGAGAGCGTTCCCCCAATTTTAATTCCCATCCCCATTTCTCCCGTCTCTCTCAAGAATCATATACAAGCTAGGCTGACCCGAGTTGGGAAAGGCCAGGTTTTAGAACCAAGAGCGACGGAGTCGGCCCTGAGCCAGCAACCCATCCCCTCGGTTTGATTCCGCTGCTTTTTGGCAAAGTTTCCGCTCTTACTCAGAAAAGTGGAATCATCTGTATGAATATTAGTGACTCTACTCGAGGACAAAATTCTCTCTTGAACTCTAGTTAGAATCACAACACAACTTTTTTTTTTTTAAATTACTTTAGTTCTGCGAATAAGCGGAGGAAAAAAATTGCAGTGAAGCAGCGTTTGTTCGTAAAGGGCAATTACTGAACAGCTGCAGGCTGCTCCGGCGAGGAGACAGTCAGCACGTCCATTGTCTAGAAATTAGCCGAGTTGATGGCGAAAAGTCCAGTCGGTGTGAATGCAGATGCAATTTTAGAACGTCCCATTCCGAGAGGGCATTATCACAGAGAAACAGGGGACTGAAGAATGGACGGGGAGGTGCCTGCAGAGGATGTGAGCTGGACCCGTTTATAGGCATCATCGATAATTTCCAGAATTTTCTGTCACAAACATGCTCTATAGTTTGAATAACCCAAAGGCACTTAGTGATTTATTTTTTTTGATGAAGATTAACCCTGAGCTAACTACTGCCAATCCTCCTCTTTTTGCTGAGGAAGACTGGCCCTGAGCTAACATCGTGCCCATCTTCCTCTACTTTATATGTGGGACGCCTACCACAGCATGGCTTGCCAAGTAGTGTGTAGGCCCACGCCCAGCATCCCAACAAGTGAACCCCCAGGCCACCAAAGTGGAGCATGTGAACTTAACCACTACACCACTGGGCTGGCCCCAAGACATATTTATTAGGTATATTAATAACATATATGTGACCACAGACACTTGCCCATATCCTTAAGTTCTATGACATAAAGAATCAAGCGCAGGGCTGTCCTACTCTGGGGGCATGTGATTTCAAAGTGCAAACAAGTGAATTAAATACATTATAGAGTCGTGTGCTTGGATTAGCAAAGGTGTTCCAATGAGCTACTGTTAGTATAAGGTGCCCTAGTCTATTTAAATTTTAGAGCATTTTGAAGCTAAAGAACTAAAGGTCAAAAAAGAAGTTAAGCTCTAAAATTCTAAACAATAACGTAAGCTGTTGAGGAAACAAAGGAACACAAAGCCTGGTACACGGGACATGGTTACTAAGCACTTGAACGAAGAAACACACATTGGAAGGACAGCGCCTAACGGGTAAAATGAAGTTTACCTACGCAACACAAGATTTTATACACATACAGTATACTAACGTGCCAAATATCTCGATGAAAAAAGATTTTATATCTATTCATGAAGTTTCATACCTTTCCATAAATTTTTGAAAAATGTTGCCTCGAAGACTGTCACAAATTTCTTCTATGTATGGCTGGAAAGGAGAGAAAAGAAATTGCACACTGCATAAATAGGAAGGTGTTAAAGTGGAAAACACAAATCGGTGAGACCCAGACCAGGTGGGACTCCCAGGGACGCGCTCCCACTGCATCTTGCACTTGTCCTTCTTGGCCCTTGTCCAGCTTCGCGAACGGATTCATCATCACAATTATGTAATAGTTATCTACGTCACTTAATGGCACGTTCCACGAAGGCAAAGGCAGGTCTGTCCTGCTCACCGCTGCATCCTTACAGACTTGCACAGCTCCTGGCAAGTCATACCCGCTTCTTAAATGACCAGAGCTGGCTGCACGGGCGTGCGACCTGTGCATCCCATGGGGCTCGTGCTCAGAATAGCCCAGGGCTTGGTCTAGTGCCCTGCTGACGTCATCTTGAAATTCTTAGTCATTTCTGAACGGGGGGCCCACATTTTCATTTTGTACTTGGCCCTGTAAGTTACGTAGCACATCCTGTAAGCTAAAATCAATTGATTGTGATTATTATAAATGATCAGCATTAATACTGAGTCTTAAAGACTAAAACTCTTTAGTGACATTTTTCTTTATTGATTTTCTGCTTCTTGGAATCACAGAGCTAAAGGTAACCAGAGGGGAGACTTAACTCCGCTCCTCATTTTTCACATAAGGAGGCAGCCGCATGGCGGGCAAGCGCTTCTCCAGAGTCTCTGAGCAAGTTCATGGCTAAACCGGGATGCGGGCAAGGGCTCCTGGCTCACGCGTGCAGTGCTCTCCCCTCGTGGGGGAACAAGCTCCTTCCATTGCACGCTGCTTTACACATTACCCAAGAAACTGCATAAACTTCTCTTTTCCACGTGAACTTTAAATCTATAAAAACATCAAATACCAACCTGTCACGGTTCAGCCTTGAGTCAATCTGATACTTTTAGAAAATGTCTTGAGACCCTACACTCACTGAATGATGCAAATTTAACGTTTTCTGTGTCTTCACAGATCATCCAGAAATTTTGCAAAAAAGAAGGACCAGATCGTGGGAGCATCCAAACCAAGTGACAAGACCAGGAAGTGTGCAGAAGCCACAGTCACCAAACACAGGCTGTGAGACACCCACAGCTCTGTGGGGCCTCACTTCCTGTGGCAAAAAGGAGACTCAGGGCCAAGCCAGCCTCCGCCACCTTGCGGGACTGTCACTGTCCCGGGCAGGGCACCGAGACTGGTCACTCAAACCAACTGATTCCCTCCTTGGTAAAAGGGGAAGCGGAACCCTCTCTCTCAAGCTCTTTCCAGCTCTTAGACCTTATGTTTCCATGATGACATAGAACGTCTCTTAGCTGAGTCCTCTAGATGCGAAAGCTGAGGGCCACAAGTCTCAAGCGGTCCAAAAGACATCGAAAGACAAAACCGATCAAGTGCTCAAAGTTCTATGAAGAAGCTAAATTTGTATACTGCAAATTTTCTATTTACAAAAACTATTATGTCAATTGAAATTTTTCTTTCATATTTTATCAAAAATCCCCTACGTTCTGCTAATAAAATAAAAGACAAAGGTCACTAGAAGTTCTCAAGACTGCACATAATACACCATATTGCCACTTTTCACCAGAAAGAACCACAAGATATGCCAAGTAAATGGTGCAAAAGCCAGAGTTCAAAAGGGGCACATGTGCAAACTGCTTCAGCTCTCTGATTCCCAGGCCCCTGATCTGTAAAACAGGATAGCACATCTAATTTGCAAGGCCACTGTGAGAATTAAAGATCAAGAACGGTGAGAGCTGAGCACCGAGCCTGGCCCATTGTGGGCACCCAAATGTAAGCCAGGACCCCTCCCAACCCTTGTCGCCAAATGTTGCCTATGCAGTTACTTATTTCTAAGGTCAATTTTGCGAGCAAAAGAATTTAATAAAAAGCATTTTGTATTTACTTTCAGAGCATTTTTGTTTCACTACCTTCTTCTCCTTGATAAGAAATTTCAACTCAGGCCTCACACTTTCTGATATCAGAATATATTATAAAGCTATGGTAATCAAAATAGTATGGTGCTGACGTAAAGGCAGACATTACAGACCAATGGAACAGAACAGAGTCTAGAAATAAATCCACACATCTACGGTCAACTGATCTTTGACAAGAGTGCCAAGAACATACAAAGGGGAGAGGACAGTCTCTTCAATAAATGGTGTTAGGAAAACTAGACACCCACATGCAGAATGAAATAGGACTCTTGTCTCACACCATATGCAAAAATCAACTCAAGATGAATTAAAGACTTCAACGTAAGACCCAAAACTGTACAACTATTAGAAGAAAAGATAGAGGAAAAAGCTCTTTGACATTGGTCTGGGCAATGATTTTTTGGATATGACACCAAAACCTCAGGCAACAGAAGCAAAAACAGACAAGTGGGATTGCATCAAACTCAAAAGCTTCTGCTCAGCAAAGGAAACAATCAACAGAGTGAAAAGGCAACCTACGGAATGGGAGAAAATATTTACAAACCATACATCTGATAAAGGGTTAATATCCAAAACATATACGGAATTCAACTGAAGAGCAAAAAAACAAACACTTGGTTAAAAAATGGGCAAAGGACCTGAGTAGACATTTTTTCAAAGGAGACATACAGAGGGCCAACAGGTACATGAAAAGTGCTCAACACCACTTATCATCAGGGAAATGCAAATCAAAACCACAAGGAGATCTCATCTCATACTGTAAGGGTGCCTTTTATCAAAAAGACAAGAAATAACAAATGTTGACGAGGATGTGGAGAAAAGGGAACCTCTGTGCACTGGTGGTGGGAATGTAAACTGGGGTAGCCGTTACGGAACACAGTATGGAGGTTCCTCAAAAAATTAAAAATAGAACTGCCATATGATTCAGCAATCTTACTTCTGGGTATAAACAGTGTCTAGAAGAGACATCTCTCTCCACTCTCACATTCATCGCAGGATTATTCACAATAGCCAAGTGTGCATCAATGGATGAGTGGATAAAGAACACGCGGGACGGATGGATGGAGATATATATATACACGTTACATACACATAATGAAATATTATTCAACCTTTAAAAAGAAGGAAATCCTGCCATTTGTGATAACATGGATGAATGAATCTGGAGGACATCATGCTAAGTGAAATAAGCCAGACAGAAAAAGACAAATACTTTATGATCGTACTTATATATGGAATCTAAAAAAAGTCGAACTCATAAAAGCAGAGAATGGTGGTGCAGGGTCTGGGGCGTGGGGGAAATGGGCAGATGTTGGTCAAAGGGTCCAAACTTCCAGTTAAGCAGGATGAATAAGTTCTGGGGATCCAGTGTACAGAATGGTGATACAGTTCAAGACACTGTATCGTATACTTGAAATCTGTTTGCTAAGAGAGTTGATCTTACGTATTCTTACCACACACACAAAAAAGTAACCATGTCAGTTGATGGATCTGTTAATTAGCTTGATTGTGGTAACCATTTCACAATGTATACATTTATCAAAACATCACATTGTGAAAACACTCACTTGAAAATCTATCTCCACTCTCACGTCCATTGCAGTATTAGTCACAATAGCCTAGATATGGAAATGACCTAAGCGTCTATCAACGGATGAATGGATAAAGAACATGTGGGATTTATATATATACAATGGAATATTATTCAGCCATAAAAAAACGAAATCTTGCCATTAGTCACAACATGGATGGATCTCGAGGGCATTATGCAGAGTGAAATAAGTCAGAGAAAGACAAATACCCTATGACCTCACTTATACGTGGAATCTAAAAAAAGAAACAAGCTCACAGATACAGAGCAAAGATTGGTAGTTGTTAGAGGCGGGAGAGGGGGATAAAATGAGCGAAGAGCGTCAAAGGAACAAACTCCCAGTTATAAATAAATGAGTCACGGGGATGTAATGTACAACATGGTGACTATAGTTAATAATACTGTATCACATATTTGAAAGTTGCTAAGAAAGTAGATCTTAAAAGTTCTCATCATATGAAATAAAATTTTGTAACTACATATGGTGCTGGATGTTAATTAGACTTATTGTGATGATCATTTCGCAATATATACAAACATTGAGTCATTATGTTATACACCGGAAACTAACATAACGTTGTAGGTCAATTATACCTCAATCAATAAATAAGTATTTTAAGAAACAAAACAGAAACATCACGTTGCATATCTTAAATCATACGCAATATTTGTCAGTTATACTTCAATAAAGCTGGGGAAAAAAGAAACTTCGACTCAAAGAACTTCAATGCACTTTATGGCTAATGCACCTCTGTAAACAGGGCATCCAAAGGTGTAACTTCTATTTATATTCCGGGTCACTGTGTTCTGATGGTACATGTCACTAATTCACTCCTTAATTTAATCAACTTAATAATGACTATTTCTTTCACCTAATAAGAGTACCACCCATTCTATACCTATTTTACCGAAATACTATTTTCATTTAATTTTTTATGAACAAATCAGGAAAGTGTTTTTAAAATATATACTGAAGAAGAAGCTTCTAAATGAACGTTCCTTGAAGGCACGAATCTTGAATCTTGGTGGTCTTCGTGTCTCACCTGGAATGTTTTGTTGTTTTTTTTTTTTTTAATGTTACTTAGGCTCCAGGAAAAGTTCAAATCAGAGTTGTGAAATCCACGTACTGTGAGGTGTAATGTAGCAACGTGAAATGTGATTGACAGTAAGACAGTCTACGAACCACGTCAAAGTCCGTTGAAAACTGAAATTCTGACTCTAAAATACCATGGAGACAACAAAAAGCAAAAATTCACGTTGCGCTTTTTGAATGTAAAATAGGTGCTAATAGCTAACATTTATGGAGCATTGTGATGGGCAGGCTCAGGGCAAAGCAACACACCGTGTACTTTCCTCACAGAATCCTCGAGGATCCCTCAGAGGGAGGGAGAGACAGCCCACTGTCATCTCCACTTTACAGAGAGAAAAGTGAAGTTAGGAAAAGGGCAGGAGCTCGCCCAGGGTCTCTGGGCCGTGGCCCCAGGATTTAACCCAGGTCAACGGATTCAGAGCCCAAGCTCATAACCAACTAGACTAGACAGACAGGTCCCACATTTTAGGAAAAGTCCTAATTACCTAATTACTTTAATTAATTAATAGTAATTATTTTGGCAGACATGTAACACTCAATTTGTTCTATATCCAAATGTTCTGAGAGCCAAATTAGTATTTTCTTTATAGAATAATCAGATTCATTTTGTATAAATAAATCCTATCCTGAGACACCAAAGCAGAAATCAACTCACTTCTCTGTAAAGAACTGAACAACCCAAGAAAAGGATAAATTAATTCTTTTCATTGATGAAAATCATCACATTACTTATGGCATTCCTTCCTACTTCTTATAACCAAGGGACATAAAAGGTACAGTATCCATTTGAAAACCTGACCATGTCCTTGCAAGCCGCTGCCACCTCTACAGAAAACACACAGGACAGAACAGGCTTCGCGAGGAGGTGAAACCATCACAGCTGAAGGGCGGCAGCTACGTGGGCCCTCCCGCTGTGGATTGAGCTTTCCAAATCTAGTCGTTTAGCTCTCGATGCCTGTGTTGCGTTCAAGATAGGAGGAGCCAAGGCAAATCCATTGCTCATCACGACTCCAGGGTCGTAAAACCTTCACTCTGGATGCTTGAAAAGGAATCTATTTCACCTGCGGGATAATCCCCATGGGGAGCGACACCTCTCTCTACAAAATAAATCTTGTCCCTGCTCATCACAGGAGCCTGGAATGACAAATGGCACCAGGCTTTCTTCTCCAATGTCTTGTCTTGACTAATTTATAGAAAATAACGTTACTAGAAAGCTCTGTGACCTTTTTCAGGAAAGTCCTTATGCAGGATGTTGGCATAAGAGCACATTTCAATGAGAAGTCAAACAATATTAAAGTTCAATTGTTCCAGATAACGCTCCAGATAAGAACACGGGTTTACACATCAATTCCTCAAGTACATTCACACATGCAGGGAGAATGTCACCAAGCCCAACGGTCAAGCAAATTAAAATGTTTATTTGGAAATAATTTTATCTTACCTGAAAAAGAGTTGATGTCACTTGCTTCTTGGATAGATGACTTTGCACGTGTTCTACAGCTTGCCTTGAGAATGGCTTTTTAAAAATCAAAAACAATATTTTTTCCACAAATAGAAAACGAACAAACCTCTGTATGTTATACAACATCACAACAGATCATTTAACACAACCATGACTACACAGTAACCTATGATAATTACATTAACACACATTCTTTAAAAGTCTACTGAATATCATGGGCCATCCAAACAGCTGCTCGCTCCTCTGAGCTTCCAGAGCTCTCAGAGGCCACGTGGGGAAGCCTGAGGGCATCTGATGGACACGTCTAATTCCACAAGAGTTCAAGATGAGGGTGATGAAAAAGCATAAAGAATCTTATCGTCACCTTATTAAATATATACATCCCTCAATTAGTTGGTAACAGGGTCCTAAAAATGTAAAATTCCTACTATATAAGATAAAATGAATGCACGAAAATATACTTAAGAATTAAATGCCAGGATGACAAAGCTAAGTCAGGGAGGTAAAGGGCTCTGGTTAAGGAAAGTCTTGCTGTGTCCACAGCTGAGGGGGACCGGGTCGAAAAGGATGGAACCTACACTGACAAGAACTACAAACTCTACTGTCCCCTAAAACTTCAAATTATGCCCTCTTCAACAACGCACGAGAAAAGCTTAAAAAGCACATCCTACTGCTGAAAACCCTCTAAATTTCTGAGCTACACAAAAACTAAGTTAACGGAGGCTTTCCCAGTGACTATCCGGCATTTTCCAAAGTTCAGTCATTCTCCAGCAAGGGAGCAAGCAAAGAGCATCAACGGCTAGCTCTAGCTCAGAAATCTTTCTACGACAAGGTAGGTGGGAACAACAAGCATCATATGCTACAAGAGGTATCACCTTTAGCCACAGTTATTCAGAAGCCAGCAGGAACTGTAAACAGCACAATAAATACAGAAGCACTAACATACATCATTATCCTGACCAGCGCCGTCCAATCGAGCTTTGTGCGCTGATGGAAATGTTGTGGGTCTGTGTTGTCTGATACAGGAGCCACTGGCCACATGTGGTTATTGATCACTTGAAAGGTAGCTCATGAGGAAGTCAGGAATTAAATTTTTATTCCATTTGATTTTAATTAAATTTAAACAGCCACATGTGGCTAGTGGCTACCGTATTGGACACAGCAGGCTAGGACAATTAGCAGACTCCTTTGGAAAACAGTCTTAATGTAGAGAGATTACAGGGGAAATTTTCATTATTAATTATCCCACTCACTCCTGGTGGAATGATTTCCTAGGAAGCTAGTTTATCCTAACGGCCGAGTTGGAGTGTAAATCTGACTTACAAGGGGGAAAAAAAAAATGATCTCAGCCATTATTTAACTATTAATGAACAAAATTAACATAATAAGTATAACCCTCCTTATTGATTCAAATAAACCATTTAAGATTCATATTTATCACTATTTGATTAGCCTAATTGTTAACATATAGATAAGTTAAAAATGATAAAGCTTAATTTCCTTCAGAAAGTCTAGATTGGAGATTAGCCTTGTATTCCATTGATCTGAATCAGCTATTTCATCAATTTTTGCAGTGAAAGCATCTGCTTCTGGAAGTGTGCATGGAGCAACAGATGCTGGATCTGCATTAACAGGAAACAAATGACAAAGGAGAAAAAGGAGGTGTCACCCTGGATGAAGACTGTTTAATTTTTAAACACCTCCTCCTGTTTTGCTTTCATTCTGCAAACACTGAAGGCTGTCCCATATTTACCCACATAAAGTAACAGAATAAAAAGTGATACTCACATGTGAACAGGACAGCAGCTCCTTCATGATGTAGGTGTCATAAATCTGTCGACTTCTACCAAGGCGATCTTCCTCATTCTCAAGCTTTTCGTACTCTTTTATCTAGATTTTTTAAAGTTATCATCATTAGGAATGTCTTCCCAGAAACTCACTTTATTAAAAGATATTACTAGTCTTGGCAGAAACCACTTCCACATGAGATCAAGCAAATGACTGAGCCGGCTATCCCACAGGAAACAACTACTTCTAATGTCGCAACAACGCAGTTGGAATCATTTAAATCCAACTTGAAAGATACAAATGGATATTTTCCTAAGATAAACTTCGTCATTTAAATTTAGAAACACAATATTAGGAAACAAATACTGCCATGGTTACAATTATCTTACAATATACCAGCCATGGACCACTCATCCATGCCAATTCTCCTTTCCAAAGAAAAAATAATTTAAATTTGGCTGTACTTCAGGTCTAAAAGTAATGATGGGGATCGTTCTCACTCAACTACAGTGTTACAAAATGAACAAGAGGGAAAAATATATGGTGAGGATTCCTGCAGAGATATTTTTTAATCAACTAATATATTGGAAAGACATTAACCCACAGATAAAAGCATTGGTTTTTCAGGTTGGAACCTCATCTGCATATAAAAGCATTAACAGAAAGGTTACTTCAAAGGGTATTATTTTGCTAAGTTAGCGAGCCAAATAATTAAACGTGCCTTAGGAATACCTGCCTTATGTGGAAATAACGCCAATCGCTCTCACCCGCTAACAGAAGCTCCAGGATCAGAGAAGTGTTTTCATTTATTTACAGAAATACTTTTAATCCAAAAGACAAGAAGAGAATGGAAACGCAAATGAAATATGGAGCCAGCTGGAAGACTGCAGGAAAGATCTTCAATATAATGACTACTTCGTATGACTTATTTTGGGGAAAAAATTGTTTCTCACAGGTAACCATTTATTACATTGACTTTCATAATATCTGTGTGCTCTTTATTCTGCTCTGATAAAAGGTGGGGCCAACCACTCCTACGGGAGAGAGTATGAACTGAATACAACAAAGTTACCTTTTTACTTTATAGTGTGGGGTTGACAGTTTTGAAATCAAAACCAGTGAATCCTATAGGAATTTCTGACAGAGAAAGAGCACAGTCGGCAGGGCGAGGGGGATGTGAAATGCCGAGGTCCTTTATGAAGGCTAGCTGGTTCAGACACTGAGAAATTACGGGGATCGTCTTAATTGCCCTGAAACACCATCAGTGTCACACTGAGATGCCTGAAACTTACAAGTTGGGGGCTTAGAACAGAATCTCCTTGGAACAGACAATAAAACCTGACAAAGGCGGGAGGACTGGAGTAGGCCGATACCCCATCCAAGAGGAAAGGACTCTTTTCACACAGAAGCAATCCAACACTGTTGGCACAACCAAAGGACCTGGGCCTAACCATCCTGAGTCAACTCAGGGGAACAAGTCTGAAGAGTCCAAACACACATCAGATCAAAGATGGCGGCCGCAAGGCAACAGATGCCAGACACCAAAATCTGAAGGAGAGTCAGGAAATGAACACAGGACTCTGGCTTGGTTGATTTCTTGTGTTGTTTTGCTTTAGGCAGATCCAAAGGTTTGTGTCAGAATGCTAGGACAAAACAGGCCGACTGCTAGTGAACCAAAGGCAAGTGCTTCTGTCTAAACATATGAACAAACTCAAGGAATAAAGCCTTCACAGAATTAGCATCCTTGAAAACAAGTGTAACGACACGTAAGTCTATGTTCCAGGGGGCCTATAAAGCAGGTTGACGTCTAGTTAAACAAACGCCAACTCTATGAAAGTAATTCCAGAAAATTCTCATTCCTCGGCCAAAGGATACTCTGAACCACAATACTGGCTTTATTAAGAGCCCTGGGGCTCATAAACTCCAACTTGAACAACAGAAAAGGCAGGCAAAGTAAGAGCCTAAAGTATCAATGGGTGTCATTCAACATTCACTTGCTATTACGAGTAAGACCATTAATTAAAGAACGTGCAGTCAACTATCGATTTGCTCTCGACAGGACATCCTTACTGTAGCATCCACATAGAAAATGCCACCTCTACTTCTGGCAGTCAGGTTGTCTGGGTAACCTGAGCCGTCAGAGGGCTGAGGTCAAGGTGGAAAGTGTCCCGTTCAGCAGAAGAGAAGCATCGTCACCAATGATGAACATTCACTGATGATACAGTCGCTTTCTGCTTTGATGGTTACAAAACTCACGGCTGAACATGGAGCCTAAATATCTGGAACCCTAAGAGCAAGTGCTTTGGGACCATAACTGTCACGGTGTCCACTTTGTCCCCTCCCGTTTGCTCCATGACCATTCCAGTGAGATGTTCTAGAGAAGTCACTAATGGCCTCTGCCTTGCCCAGTCAAGGGTCTGTCTCTTGTCCTTAGCTTCACTGACTTCCCATGAGCATTCAGCTCAGCCGTCCACTCCCACCTTCTCTGAAGCTTTCTTCTCTGACTTCTGCGGTCTACACTCGTCAGGAGCTGTGCATACCGGCACCCCTTCCTCAGCCTCCCTCGGTAGTTCTTCCTCCCAGGCTGTATTTCTAAACACTGAAGTGCCTCCAAGCACGATGCTGGGGCACCCCTTTTTCTCCTAAGGTAAAGCTGCTCAGTCCCACAGCTTCAATGACCAATTACATCCCGTGACTAAGTCTGGATCTCTAGGACTCACTTCTCCCTGGCACTCCAGAGTCTACATATTGAACTACCGATTTGACACTCGCACATCCTCTCTACCCCAGCCAAGCAGGCTCTTCCCCTAGTCTTCTTTATCACAAGAATGAGTAAAACAATCCTCCCAGTTGCTTAAACCAAAAAAAGGAATAATCATCGATTCTACTCTTTTCTCACACGCCAACCCCCACCAGCCCCTACGTCCAGCTCATCAGCCAATCACGTTGGATTGACATTCAAAATATATCACAACCCAGGCTCTGCTTCAGGGAACAGCCAACCAACTGCTACTAGAACAATCTTCCTGAGAAAACAACTGTAAATTCTGGACACACAGAAAACCCAAGTACACTGGAGCACAGGAGAGTGACCAAAAGTACAAAGATAATGGGGAAGGGGCATCAAACAGAAGCTGGGAAGGAAGAGAGAACATTCCTGAAAATAAAGAGCCAGAGAGGGGGAACTCCGAAATTCTGTGTATAGACTCTGTTCGGATCTCTGTTGGACCCCAAAATGACAGGTAAGCACGGCAGACCCAAAGCAGTCCAGCCAAGGCTAAAAGAACTTAACAGGATTCAGCTGCCACCCACAGTAGCAGAAAGAGCTCAAAGTTTGAGTGCGCCACGTTAACTGCTAAGGCAAAAAATCCACACCCTTTGGAGAAGCACACAGAGTTTAGAGTGTCTACAATGTATCCATCACAATGTACAAGATATACAATCTAAAATTATTCCACATATGAAGAAGCAGGAAAAGGTGGCCCACATGCAGGAAAACAGACCATAAGTGAAGACCAGTCCAAGGTGACTCTGATGTTGGAATTATCAGACAAGGATTTAATGCAGCTATGATTGATACCTATACTCAGACATTCCAGAAAATACGCATGTAATGAACTAAAAGATAGGAAACAGCAGTAGAAAAATATTAGCTATGAGAAGGACGAAACGGAAATTTGAAAACTAAAAAATGCAATATCTGAAATAAAAAACTCAATGGATGGACCTAATAACAGACTAGAGATGTCAAAAGAGTCAATAAACTTGAAGATGGATCCCTAGAAATTACCCAATCTGAAGAACAGAAAGAAAAAATACTGGGGGAAAAAAATTGAACAGGGCATCAGTCTTATTTACGATAATAACCCAAAATCAAACATACATATAATTGGAGTTCCAGAAAGAGGAGAAAGAGAGATTGAGGTAGACAAAAGGTTTTAAGAAATAACGGCCCAAATTTTCTCAGATTTGGTGAAAGATATAAACTTACAGATCTAAGAAACCCCACAAAGGATAAACACAATATCTAAAATTACTCCACTAAAATGCAGAGATTGTCAGAAATGAGAGAGGGGGAACACTTTTATATCTGTCTAAAAGAAAGACACTTTACACATAAAAACACTGGTTGAAAGTGGATGGGAAAAGATACATCATGAAAACAGAAAGCACGAGGAGATGGAAGTGGCTATATTAACGTCCCGTGAAGTCATTTTCAAGACAAAGAATATTATCAGCAAGAAAGAGGGACATTTCATATGAAAAGATATAGCAATCATAAACATATATGAACCTAACAACAGAGCTCCAAAATACATCTAAAAATAACAATAAAAAGAAGAAATAAGACAATCCTACAGTCAGAGCCAGAGATTTCATCACCCTTCTCTCAGCAATCGGCAGGACAATTAGACATAAAATCAGTAAGGACGGAGATGATTTATTACATCAACCAGTGATATTTAGAAAATATCCACCAAACGCTCCCATTTTAAATGTTCCATAGGCTTTAGAATAAAATCTGCGTTTGTTACTCTGGCCCCGCAAACCCTCTCTCTCTTCAGCTTGATCTCGTCTCATCCCGCCCCACCCCCCTCATCCATTACAGCCACACCACACCCGGCTTCTTCCAGTTCCTTAAACACGCTCTTTCCCACCACACTACGGGCTACGTCTGAGCCAGCACTTCAGCCTAAGATGCTCTTCCTCCTCACCCTGCTCCCATCTTCGAAAGACCAGCCTTGTCATTCAAGTCTCCAGCTCAACGCCACTTCTCCAGGGGGTCAGTCTTCGACCCATCGATCTAACGTGGCCCCCAAGTCAGAATACCTGACACTGAGTTTCGAGTCTGTTTGGAGTATAGACGTTATTACTTCCTGATACATTTCCTGTTTATTTCTGTTTCGCTCAACAGAAACTCAAGGAAATAGAACAGAAGCTCAGAGAAAGCAAGGCCTTTGTCTACCTTGCTCATCCCAGCAATGCCTGGCCCAGCGTCGGTGTTCGATAAACACGGGCTGAACGAGTGAAGGAAATCCTCTACGGTAACTTTACCTCTGATCTTATATTTATTTCCTGTTTTCCAAGATTTGTTTCTAAAT